GTGCGGCAGGATTCTTCGGCGGTGGACAAACCTCTCTTTAGTAGACCTCCCCTTAGTGAAAACGGCTTGGGACCCAAACCGACGGACCTGGACCCGCAAGCAAAAATGACGGCCGCGACGCCCTCTCGCGAACCAAAAACGGCCAATTCCTTAATCGACGTGTCAGGGTAGGAGGTCTGTCCACCCCCGGATTCTCACAGTGTCAGTCAAGCCAGGCCTCGAACTGATGGCAGCGCCACAGGGTGCTCACCATGCCAGCCCCTCCCCAGGTCACGAGCGCGTCGGAGGGCTGAGCATACTGCAAGGCCATGGCCCTGGGCCTTCCGAGAGGCCGCCCCCCCCCCCCCCCCGCCTGCCTACGGGGAATCCGGGAGCGTGAAATCTGGAATGCGGGCTTTTTGGCCGGCCTTCCGTGGAGCGCCTGCGGGGCTTGAACAGAGCGTGGCAGGGGCGAGCGAAATGAGCCCACGACTGCACGTGGACCTTTTGCATGTCGGCCTTCTGTGGGACTCGCATGGAGCTTGAAGAGCGTGGCTGGGGCGGGCGACATGAGCCGACGACGGCGTGCGGACATTTTCATGTCGGCCTTGTGTGGAGCTCATATGGGGCTTGAAAAAGCGTGGCAGGGGCGAGCGACCTGAGCCTACGATTGCCCGCGGGCTTCTTCATGTCGACCTTCTGTGGAGCTCCGGTGGGGCATGAAAAGCGTGGCAGGGGCGAGCGACATAAGCCCACGAGTGCATGGCACGTTTGCTTTGCGTGGAGCTCCTGCGGGGCTTGAAAAGCCGGGCAAGGAAGTGCCAGGGCAGAGGCAGGAGACAGGAGGAGGAGGACCGGGAGTGGACGCGGGGAGCTGCGGATTCAAAACGAGGGCCCAACACCACCAGAACGTCGGGAAAAAACATGGGGTGTACCAGAGTGGGGGATCATGTATCATTATTCTTAAGGCTTGAGAGGTGAATTATGTTGAATATGCTTGCTCTTATCGGTTCTCGCGTCAATGAACGAACATGTACATCCTGAAACCTCGATACCCGCCCTCTTCGACTTCGATCGTACCCCCGCTGGGAATGTATAATTCCTCACCTGCCACATGTAGTTGACGCAGCCCCTAGAACAGGGGGCGGGAGGGAGGAGGGAAGTGACAAAGGGGGAGGGAGAAAGATGGAGCACGAGAGGAATCAGCACGAATTAGCATGAGGGGTGTTAGGAGCAGGAGTGCACGCGGCAGAATGAGACTGGCAAGCCGGGCGGGCGGACCCCAACGGGCGGGTTGGACAGGCGGGCCCAGACGGCCGGGTCGAGCGGGCGGGCGGGTCGCTGAAACACCAATCCTGCATGACTCGCAAGGGAGTGTCCGGCGACCGTGCGAGCCCCAAGCAAAAATCGTGCAACAGCCAGCAGCGGGAGCGTGATTCCTAAGTGTCGGGGGCGCGGCGTCGCGATAAATTGCGAGGAAGTCCCACGCGAGCGATCGATTCCTGGATCAATTGTGAGGAAATCCCGTGCGAGTGCGATTTTGAATGAACTGTGCGGAAATATCTTGCGGAAGCTGTTGTTGTAGTTCGGGGGCAAGGGGCCCAATCTGAGGCACAAGACTCTCCCTTGCAGTTAAAACACAAAGTGCGAGCCCCAGGAGAGGCATTTCAATAAAAAACACAAGGTGCACGGGAGGGGGGGGATGAACAATCATTCCTCTTTCGAAGTGGAAATTCAACAGCAACGCAGCAATAATAATCCGCCACACGGAACGCCACTTCCGCCACGCACCAACGGACAATGAATGACCGTTCGGCCCTCTCGCTCTGATTATGGGAACTTTGCGGTTCGTGGTCGAGCATGCCCCCAAAGCCGCTGCAGACAGTGTCCAGGCCCCCCAGGCGGCAAGACTACCAACGCTTCAGAGTCCCATGAAATGGATTGTTCTCACCACGGCTCCTGACCTAGCGAAGGGTCTTGTCTCCGAGCGCCTGTCCTCCAAGCATCGTTGCCACGTGCCGCTCGAAACCTTGGCATTGACTGTACCGCTAGACCTGGTCGAGCCGCTGTCCAGCGCGTGGGGGATGATCGCCTCAAGGAGACGGCCAAGCATGCAAAACGTCTTTTGCTGCCCTGCGAGGCCGGGGGCCGAATTCAGCCGATGTTGCGACCAGCTCTCGGCGCGACGGCTCTCTATCGAGCGCCACCACAGGGCTTCCAGCGCGGCGCATACATGAGCGAAAGCAACACTACAATTATGCTGTGGTAACTTTTTCGAATAGGTCTGTCACCACGGATCTTGCACTTGATCGTTTGCTAAATCCTGCAGTCCTGGCACACACAGAGGTTCTGCTTCGCGGTGGGAGTCCGTTTTGCCCGCAGCGATTCTAAACGACGCACTTTCGTGGGCGAGTCGAAACGTCACCGCCGAGACGCCTTGGCGTGATCTGCACGGCCCTGCTTCTGTAGTAGCTGATATTATGTTGCGCTTGGGCGAAACTCCCATACATCCTCCCTCCTGGCTCACTGTCTGGGATATCAGTCGACATTACGCGAGTTACACCTCGGGATTTGCCGCTCCTCGTTGCTCATGACGCTCAAGCCTGGTGAGGACCCTCCTCACGAAAGATTCGCGACATTTCGGGGCGGCCGTGAGGGCCAGATTACAGGATTATGGCAGTGCGGTGGAGTTCTGCAGCATCGTGATCGCCATCCTGTGGATCCAATCTGGTACTCAGCACTTGTACCTTCCCCAGAGCGGTATTTCCAACACTGATGCTTAGCATGAAGGCATCGAGTGTGTCTGGGCTAGTGTCAGACCCCAGGGTCAGGTTATTACTCGACCAGATGTTGGTGATGGGTATGGCATCCAGGGACCTTTTTCTCCTTGACGATGTCTTATGGGCCGTATCTGGCTTTGGATCAGGCTTTATCTGCATCGGGGGCACTCGCAATCTTTGTTGTTTTACTTATGTGAAGTAGCACCAAAGGAGGGCGGACAATCGCATTATTTCAATGATTGCCAATGGGTCCTCGACACCTTTATTCTATCCCAGTCGGCTTCTACTGGGGGATAGTGTGTGCATGCCAGATGGCGGACACGCACTCATAACGCAGCAGAGGACATAGGACATAGGGCATCACAACATTCAGCAACAAATGCTTGCGCTCATGCATGGTCGTGAGCGTTTTTTTCTATTCGGCGTTTCGACATTGGGCGGACAGGGGGGGAGAGGGAGAGGGAGAGGGAGGGAGAGGGAGGCAGAGGGAGAGGGAGGAGGGGGGGGAGGGAGGGAGGGAGGCAGAGGAGGAGGGGGGAGGGGGAGGGGGGGGGAGGGAGGGGAGGGGAGGGGAGGGGAGGGGAGGGGAGGGGAGGGGAGGGAGGGGAGGGAGCTCGGATCCAGGAGATCCGGGCAGAGCGCCAGAAGCTTATGTTTGTGGCGCTTTTCTTCCTCGAGGTGCGCTGGGCTCGAGGCGAGGGCGCTGGCGCGCGACCTCTGTTTTGATCTGCGGGGCGAGAGCGAATCTCTTCCGCCAAAAGCCAGGCGGGCTACGCACAGCGAGGGCGCTCGCGCGCGACCTCGCGCGAGCGGCCTGCGGGCCCCTGCCCGAGAAGGCGGCCCCATTCCTTCCGGCGCCGCTCCCGCGGCCGTGCCGCCCAGCGGTGAGCGGCGGCCTGCCGGTGGAGCCCCCCCCCCCTATCCCCTCCCCCCCCCCCCTCGCCGCAGCGGCCCCCTCGTGCTCCTGCGCGGGCGCGCGCGGGGCCCGCCGCGAATCCTAGAATCCTCCTCCTCTCCCTCCTGGAGCCCTGGAGCCCTGGGCTCCTCCTAGGAAGTCCAGGGGCCCTGCGAGACTGGAGCCCTCCTCCTCCGTTCCCCTCTCGGCTGTCCGCCGCCTCCCTCGTCCGTGGCTGCTTCTGCAGGTGCTTGTACGTACTCCCGGTGCTGTTGCTCCTCCCTGGTTCCTTCCTTTCTCCTCCTCCTCCTCCTCTTCCCTCCCTCCCTCCTCGCTCACCCTTCCTCTGCTCTATCCTCCCCTGCGTTCTTGCCCTCCTAGTTGTCCGTCGTTCCTCCATTCTGTCCCTCCGCCTCCTCCAATTCCTCCTGCTCCTGTTCCTCCACCTTATCACGCTCCTCTTCCTCCTCCTCCTCCTCCTCCTCCTCTTCCTCCGCCGCTTCCTCCTCCTCCACCCCCATGCCACCTTCTCCCTCACCTCTCCGCCACACGTGCGGCTGACGTTCCTCCTCCCTCCCCCCCCCTCGTCCTTCATGCCCCCACCTCGTCCGGCTCCTCTGGCTCTTCCCTGGGCCAGGAATTAACGGGCGAAGAACGGTATAAAATAACCTTTTTCGTTGTCGGGCCCGCCTGTCCCAGGGCGGCTGGAAAATTTATACCCTTACGGTGGAACCGTAGGGGTACAAACTTTCCAGCCGCCAAGGGGCAGGCGTCCCCGACGGCGGAAAAGTTCATATTATACCGTTCTTCGCCCGCTGAAAGAAAAGGGCGCCGTTGACGCGGTACTGCGTCGGCCCCAAGGTCCGCTGCTCGACGATGCGGCCGCCCGCGCGGGTGATGCGCGCCAGCTCCTCCAAGGAGGGTCTGGGAGAGGCGTCGATCGTAAGGACGAGGCTGTGGTTGTCGAGGGCGCCGCCACCGAGAACAAACAACCACGCAACCCAACGCTCGCGGAAATCCGAGCGACGCGTTGGGTCAGCGCTGGACCCAGCCCGCTCCCCCGCGCACACACACAGACACAGACACTCACTCACTCACTCACTCACTCACTCACCCACCCACTCACTCAGACACACACATCCACACACACAAATGCACACACAACACATACACGCATTCGCACACACACACACACACACACACCCGTAGCCATTTTGGCTCAAGATGATTTGTTCCACAGGGGAACGAGTGGATACCGCTAGTCCGCGGCCAGTGCCAGGGCTTCTCCGCCCGACAGTTTTGTTTCGTGTGTTGGCAAGGGGTAGGCTGTGCGCTGCCCACTCACCATGTCCAGTGCCTCGCAGAGGGCCAGGTCTGAGCCGCGGGCCAAGGGCGGCGGCGGCAAGGGCAAGAGCAAAGGAGTTGGCAGGGCAGGCAAGACCAACGCGAGCGGAGCCAACCCCCTGGACTACGTCCGCTGTGCGAACTGCTCGTACAAGTGGAACTTCAAGGCCAGGGTGGAGCGCTACAACTGCAAGAAGCCGCTCAAGCCTGCCGCAGTGGACAAGCCTCCGCAGCTACGGGCATCGGCGTGGTCATTCGTGCGCGAGCCGTGGGTGCGGCACTCTGACGACTGGTTCGGGTACGAGGCACCGCCACCGCAGCCCGCCCCGCCGTCGGATGCAGAGTGCCTCGCGGCGTTGGCGGCCAGGCATCCCGAGCACGGCCAGCAGCTCGAGGCCATCAAGATGGCAGTCGCACCACCGCCCGTTGCGGCCACGGTGTTGCCAGATGTGGCCCTCAACCGCGCCCAGGCCAAGCAGCGGCGGGCTCAAGCCGCCTTCCTCTCCAAGTCCCAGCAGGTCCACGACGCCGAGCAGTGGCTCCAGGCCTGCCGCGAGGAGGAGGTGCGTGCTGGTGAGCTCGTCCTGGCGTGCAACGTGGAGGTGGAGGAGGCCTACAAGGCAGCAGCGCCCAAGGGCGTCCAGGTGCAGGCGCAGGAGGCGCAGGGGCCTGGCGCCAAGACTCAGCCTGCCGCGGGCCTCAACGTCACGGCGCTTTTGGCGGAAGACTTCCAGGTCGAGGCAGGCGACGCCTTCAGGCTGGACGACCCCGACCTGGACATCACCGACACGGAGCGCGAGGAGTTCAACAAGTCCCTGGAAGGCTTCGTCGAGCAAGTCAAGCAGCACGTGCGCACCACCTTCGGTGAGGCCAAGACGCAGCTGGAGCAGAGGCGCAGCGAGATCGACGCCAAGCACCAGCAGCTGCTGGCCAGGCGCAAGCGGCCTCGCACCGAGGCGGCAGGAGCAGCAGACCAGACGCCAGCCCAGGCGCCAGCCGCAGGCCCTGCGGCAGCAGGCCCCGCGGAGGCCCCAGCGGCCGCCGCGGCCCCAGCCCAGGCCCCCACCCCTGGGCAGCCTGAGGCCCCTGCTCGGCCTCCTGTTGCTCACCCTCCAGAGCCACCCAGCCTCCGCGGCCCCGATGGCGCAGCCAGGTTGGCTCAGCTCAGGCGGGACTTGGAAGCAGCAGCCGCCGTTCCAGCTGGGGACGCAGATGCGTAAGGCCCAGTCCTGGGGACCTGATGCGCCGCCAGAGGCCAAGCCACGAGAGCCCAGACTCGTCCGCCTGGGCAGGCGGGAGCGGGCCATCCTGGCCACGCGTATGCGCCGCATGGCTCGGCACTGGCGCCCTGCCCCGTCGCTGGGGACCACGGCTCAGGACCGCAGGCACTGGGGCTCCTACTGCGTGCCGTACATCTTCCACCAGCTGGGCTCTGGGGAGTACACAGCCATGCTGGACGACCTGGCAGCCACCACGGGCAGCGGGTCCCGAATTGCCGAGCGCATGAGGATTGCACGGGAGTTGGGTGACGAAGCCTGGAACCGTGGAGGGGATGCCAGGCGCCTCCAGCGGCAGTGGTTGGAGCATCTGCAAGTGGCTAATCAGGATGCTTTCGAGCGTGAGGCGGCTCAGCAGGACCGCACCCAGTCAGCCGCGGAGCGGTGGTTCGACCGCCAGTCCCAGGCGACGTCGGGAACGCAGGCCCCCACCGTCTACTTCGACGGCCGCATCCACTGCTGGAGGTTGTGCGCCGCGAAGGTGCTGGAGGCCGACCTCGGCCCATCCACCTCGACTGGGTCCTCGGAGGAGCCGCTGTGTTGCTCTGCCTCGCCCGTTGAATGCACCGAGCCCACTCCCACCCCAGCCGCGTGCAACCTCACGGACGAGCACCGAGGAGCTGCCCCATGTATTTCAGCTGGTGGTCTCTCTGCCGCCCGAGGCAGCCCATATCAGCTTACGTCAGTTGGTGGTTTCTCTGGCTCAGCTGTTTCAACGGGCGATGGTCTCTCGGCCGCCGATGGTGGCACCCAGGCGCAGCTTATTTCAGTCAGTGGTGTTTCGGGCTCTACAGTTTCCACGGATGGTGGTTTCTTGGCCGCTGGAGGCACCCAGGTGCAACTTACGTCAGGCCGTGGCCCCTCTGGCTCAGATGCCTCAACTGTAGATGGTTTCTCTGTCGCCGTTGGAGGCACTCAGGAGCAGCTTACGCCAGTTGGTGGTTGCTCGGGCTTTGCTGCTCCCACAGGCGGGCCTTTCTTGGCCGCTGGAGGCCCTCAGGCGCAATTTACGTCAGATGGTGGTTTCTCGGACCCAGTTGTTACAGCAGGTGTTGGTGGCTCTGCCCACGGAGGCAGTCAGGCGTTGCTTACGTCAGTTTTTGTTTCTGCAGGCTCAGCTGTCTCATCTGGGGGAAGCCACTGCGGCCCTGGGCAGCCTAACATCATCGAGATGGCCCATGAGGCTGTGGCACACCCTACCGAGGGCGGGGACGTCAGTGTCGGCAGTGTTGGCGGCCAGTCCACCTGCAGCGGGACGTCGGCAAAGCCCCAGTGCGACGTCGCCAAGTATCGACCCTCAGCAGCAGGAGCCCGCAGAGGCAAGCGTCGACAGCGGAGCCACAGGCGCTTCACCTTCCACAGCGTCAATGCCAGCCTCAGCTGGGGCAACGTTGTGGGCTACCTCCACGGCGCGGCACACCAGCAGCTCACCGAGGGCAAGATTCCGATCATCGGTTTCCAGGAGCACGGCAAGCGGCGTTTATGGGCCGAAGAGAGCGCACGGGCCCTGCTGCCCTTGGGCTGGAGGGCCCTGCCCACGCCAGCGACGGACGGCCCGAATGGAGGGGCCTCGGCGGGCGTCTTGCTGGCGATACCTGCCTGCGTCGGCGTCACTCTTGCATCTGGACAGCGACACTGGGACATATCTCCCCCAGGTTGCGCAGGCAGGCTCCTGATGGCCACACTCGAGGCCAAGGGCATCGGCAAGTTACTGGTTTTCTGTGCGAATTGCTTCACTGGTCAGAAGTTGGCGTCTGTGGGCAATTCAGCTCTCCTGTCAGTTATCACGGGGTGGGCAGTCCAGCTCCAGCTGCTGATCGTCATCGCGGACTGGGAGAATCTACCTGACGCTTTGGAGCGTTCGCCGTGGAACAACCAGCTCAGAGGCCGCGTCGTAGCGTGGCAAGGGGAAGGGGGCACCAACCGCTCCCCGCACGGTGAGCGCGTGATCGATTATTTCTGGATGCGCTCCAGTTTGGCTGCCAATATTTCCCCAGCCCGCATTGACGACGACGCGGTCTACCACCCTCATAGAGCCACATGGGTCGAGTTTCAGCAGCCTTGGTCGGCCTTTACCTACACCAAGCTCATCCGACCCCACAAGTTCCCGATCCCAGGAGTCAAGCCGAGGCACTTCGATCTCTCGTGCCCAGACGTGCCTGCAGGTTTCGACCCCGATGCGGTGCCTACCCAGGAGCTCCTGGACGACACCTGGGAGGCTTTCTGCCACGCCGCCGAGGAGGAGCTGATCCAGAAGGTGGGTTTGGACCCCAGCAGTCGGCAAGCCGATCAATGCCGAGGGCGTGGGGGACCACCGCGCTTCAGGAAGTGCCCGTTGCTCCCGACCCACACCGAGGCCATCGCTTCGTACGGGGAGGCCAAGCGTTGGAGGTGGTTTGCCAACGAGTTGGCTTGGCTGGGCACCATTGAAGTACAACTTTTCAGCTACACGGGCGCTTCCGACCTGGTCCTCACCACGTTGCACCAGCAGCGGCACGCCTCCATCCGCAAGTTGCGTGACCGCTTCAGGCACCACATGCTGTTAGAAGGCGTGGCTGAGCTGCAGGAGTTCTTCGAGGTTTTCACGTCTCGGGACCGCGGCTATGAAGACTTGCAGGAGCTCTCGGCTTGGCGCCTCAGCTGCAGTCAGTATGCCTCGTACTTGGAGTGGCAGATCGGCAAGGAACGGCGAGATTCCTTCAAGCAGCGGTTGGAGGACGACTTCCCAGGCTCGCAGGGGCTACTCCACAGGGTCACCAAGTGGCGCCAGGCTTGGCAGGCTCCCAAGGGCAGCATCTCCAAGAAGCTGCTCCCAGCGGCGCCTCAGGCCGCCGTGGGCCAGGAGTTGCACGACTGGTCGAAGGTCTGGACCACTGGCTCAGGTTTCCCCAAGCCGTGGATGGGGCCTCCAGCAAGTCGCCGTCACGCCGCCCAGCCCTCACCACCTGCGCGGTTTGGCCCAGCGTTTCAGGGCCAAGACGGGGATTGGCGTGGACGGATGGCAACCCAAGCTTTGGGCCTACCTCACGGACGGCACGCTCTCGGCGCTCGCGTCATTGCTGGCCTGGTGCCAACAACTGGGGCGGTGACCGTCCCAGGTCCACCTCCTGCTCGTTTTCATCATCGGGAAGCTCGATGGAGGGGGCCGACCCATCATTCTTCTACCTGGCCCTTGCCGAATCTGGGAGGCGTGGCAGCTGCCCACCATCAGGAGCTGGTTGGCGGCGCACCCCAGGAGCTACGACTACACGGCGGCGGGCCAATCATCGGAGCGTGCGCTGTGGAAAGCTTTGTTGGACGACGAGCTCGTGTTGGGCACAGGCATACGTGCGGCCACGATGCTGGCGGACCTCGCCAAGTGTTATGAGAAGGTTCCGCATGAGCGTATGTGGTGGCTAGCAGCTTGGTGGGACGGCCCGCTGGAGGTGGTCGCGCTCGCCCTGGAAAGTTTCGCCTTTGGCCGTGTCATTCGTCTCGGGGAGGCCTGCTCGGCGGAGGTCCTGTCCTCCACAGCGCTCCCAGCGGGCAGCCGTTTCGCGCCCACCTTCCTGAGGTTCTACCTCACGCTGTGCTTAGACGACCTGCTGGGGGTTTTCCGCCTCACGATCTACTTGTACGTTGATGACATCGCCCTGCGGGTCATGTCCACCGAGGCGCGCGTCTTGCACATGCTGCCGCAGGCCACGCGCTTGCTGTTTTGGATGCTGGAGTCCTTCTTGGGCCTGGAGGTAGCCCGAGCGCGGGGCGGGGCGAGAGGCAAGTGCTCTTTCCTGCAAACGGCCACTCCGTCTTCAGGCTTGACGCAGGCCATGGCCGTCCTGGGAGTACCGCCCAGCACCTCCGAGCGGTGGCTCGGCATCGACTACGGTCCCAGCGTCAAGACAGAGAACCAGTCAGCCCCAGTCAGACACGCGCGGCTCAAGATAGCCAAGCAGCGTTGGCCTAAGATCCGCGGCCTTCCTCGTGCACGCGGGGGCAAGCTCAAGATGGTCGTGCGGCAGGGCCTCGGAGCCTCGGTCGCCTACGGCGCCCGTGTCCGCGGCACGCCCAGGCCCATCGTGCGTTTCATCCAGCAGAAGGATCGGGCCGTCCGCAGGGGCGCCACAGCTTTTACCTCCCGAGTCTTGCACGACGGCCTCGACCCCAGTTGCGCCGACACCCTCGTTCTGGCACCGCTGCTGGCTTGGGCGAGGGAAGCTTGGGACCACCCAGAGGGGCGGCGTGCGCAGGCCACAGCATGGGCCCGAGTGCAGCAACAGCTCGCGCTGTACATGGACGCCGACGCTCAGGAGTTGTGGTCAGTGGTGCGCGGCCCAGCGGGGGCCACCTCAGTCACAGTTCGAGCCCATGGTTGGAGCATGCCGTCAGCCTTCGGGATTGTCTTGCCTCCACGTGGCGGGGTGCTCCAAGGAGGGGACGTCCATCTTGATCTACTGCAGATTTGCCCCAAGTCGGTCGAGGCCGCCGTGCTTTTGGCCGCCCGTTCCAGAGCCCTGTGCCAGTGGGCGGCGGCTCAGCCCGAGCGGGCTGCGCCCCTGCCAGCGCCGTGGCTCACCCCAGCGAGGCAGTTGGTCAAGCGGCGCAAGCAGGACGGGTGGCTGCAACACCATGCCGACGCGGTCAAGAAGGCGGTGTTGGGCGGTTTCCCTTCGCAGGAGGCCCTTTTCTCTTCGGGCCAGGCGGACACTCCGTGTTGCCAGCTTTGCGACGACACGACCTGTTTCGGCACCCACCAGCACTATTACTGGCGGTGCGGCAGCCCGACGTGTGCTACGGTGAGGGAGCAGCTGACGGCCCACGACGCGTCACCTACCTTCAGAGACGTCGGCCACCTGGGCGTGTCGGCCTCCTCGTCGGAGGCCCCAAGATGGTTGTGGGAGCGGGGTTTGCGGCGAACCCCATGTTACGGCTTGCCTTGGAGTCTACCGTCGCAGCGCACCCATTGGATCGTCAATGGCGCGGCCCCCGAGCTCACCGATGTGCTGGTTTCGGACGGATCAGTCAAAGGCTTGGATGACCCCAGGCACGGCGGCTGGGCGGCTTTGCAGTGCACAGCGGAGGCCGACGACGTGGTGCAGGGCCTGCACGGCCCACTGCCCTTTCCCGACCCCAGCTCGGTCCTGGCAGAGTTGTGGGGTCTCCTCCACGCCCTCAGGCATTCGGTCTTCATCACGGCCATCATCATTGACAATGCTCAGGTGGTCCAAGGCTTGGCTCGTGGCAGGGCATGGTGTTGTTCAGCGGCCAGGCCCTATGCGCACGTCTGGCTCGAGATCTGGGATCGCCTGGATGACATGGACATCCTTCCTGGCAGAGAGTTGTCGGTCATCAAAGTCGCCTCGCACATATCGCAGGCCAAACGCCTAGAGCTGCCAGAGGAGGTCCAGATTCACATGAGGCACAATGACTTAGCCGACGAATGGGCCAAGCAAGGAGCAGACCTCAGCGCGCCGCCAGAGTGGGCCACGTTGCAGGTCAAGCAGGAGCTCAAGGCCACCAAGCGCGTGCTCGAGTACATCGGGCACTTCAGGGTCCTCCTCGACGGGGTCAAGTTGGCGGAGCCTAGGCCCAAACGACAGCAGGGCCAAGAGGCCAACATTCCTCAGGCTGCACGACCCCAGGCTGGTCCCAGGCACCCGCGCGTTCTGGAAGTGTGCCGCGGTTATTCCAAGTGCACCAACTGCGGCAAGGTTGCCCGCACTCGCCTCGCGGCCTTTCAGTTGCAGGAGTGCCGTGGTCGTCTCCAAGGGCTCCAGGGCAAGTTAGTCAAGAGTGCGGCCAAGAGAGGCAGTGTGGCGGTGCCTCTTCTCGTGGCGGCAGGCGCCGCCGCTCGGCCTGTGCGACAGCGAGCAGACCATGGAGATCAGGGTGAGCCTCGAGTAGAGCCCGACCCTGCGCCTGCCTCCCAGCTGGGCCCCGACCCGCTGTGGGCTCCTGTCGCAGCAGCCCGCGCGGCTCTTGGCAGGATGGAGCGGATACCTGACGGCCCTGTGTGCATGGGAACCCCGCCAAGCCAGCCACACATCACGCCCGAACAGCAGCATGTCCGTTCCATCATGGACGATGCCATCATCTGGGCGTCTTTCTGGATCGATCGTTTCGACGTGGCAGGCTTCACCAACGAGTGGGACTACCGTACGTGGTGTTCGGAATATCTTGAAAAGGTTTCTCAGCTCGGCGGCGTGGGCACCAGTTCGAGAGCATCTTCTACGTAGCAACCCTGGCCGCACTCTCGGGCAGGTCGTCGACGACCTATGCGCCACCTCTTGGACGCGTGCCGAACCAGCCCGTCAGGCTCAGTTCGCCAGGGTACGGCCTGACTCGGGTTCGAGAGGCAGGCAGCGCAGTCGGCTGCTTCGGAATCACTTCGATGTGTTGAACCAGGTCAGGGAGCGTTTTCAGGGATCTTTTTGGAGATCGTGCCCCGCCTGAGACGGCCTCCTGGCACCAGTGGGTCTTCGAGCCCCTCTCCTCGGATGACGACCAAGGAGGTGATGCGGCAGGCCGCGCCGCCGAGGACGCCCATGGCTACGACGATACCGACGAGTTCGCGGCCCTCAGCGTGCACAGCGACCTCGAGGTGGTGGAGGCAGACGGCAAGGCCACGCAGGCCACAGGCACCCAGGCGTCAGAGCGCGAGTCGTCGCCCAATCCCGACCTCGCCCCCAGGGCACTCCAGCCACAGGAGGAGGGAGCTCCAGCGGGAGGGGCGAGGCGGGAGGGTGTTTTGCGGATCCGCAGTGCGGCAGCCACCTGTTCCCAGGACGTGGACGACGGTGCTACGGCTGGCGCTGGGGCAGCTCCTGTTCCCACGGTGCCGCCTGCTGCTCAACCCGCTGGCGAGCCTGGAGTTGATCAGGGCGAGTTGGCCAGCTCCCTGGACGTGGACGGCAAGGCTGCCACCCAGGCAGCGGCCGCTGTGTGCTCCGCCCCCTTGGCGGCACACCAAGCTCGTGCTGGCCAGGGCAGCCTGAAACACGGTGGTAAGGCCCCAAGGACTGGTTCCTCAGCATCCTCGGCGGCGGCGGCGGGCTCTGGCCAGGGCGGCCTGGCACCGCTGGCGGGGTCCCCGCCGCCCTCGGCTGGGGCTGCGGCGGCCTCGGAGCCAGAGCGGGGTGCGCGCGGGCGGGCGGCCTCTGCCCAGCCCGCCAGGAGTGGCCAGGCGCTGCCTGCGACGGCCAGAGCCGCTTCATCGGAGCCTCGGCCACATACGGTCGAGATCATTGGCAACTTCGTGGTCTGCGTCGTGTGCGGTTCCTACTACAGCTCGGTGGCCAGGAACCTCGGCGGGCCGTGCAGGCGGCTGGACCCGCGCGACCCAGGCGACAAGGAGCGCCTCAGGCGCATTCGCCGCATCCAGCGCGGCCAGGACCCAAAGACTGGAAGGGATCTGATTTGAGGCCGTTGTGCTCGTTCAATGATCTGTCTGGTCTCACTGCGTGCGGCCCCCCTTGGCGCGGTGTTATCCGTGAGCTGAGGGGCCTGGGCGGGGCTGCCGCCCCGCTCGGGGCGCTCGGGCCTGCTTCCCCGCGTTGCGGGTGGCCTGGGCGCGGCGCGTTTCTCGCTGCGTTTCGGCCCCCCTTGGCAGCAGGCTGAGGGGCCTAGGGTGGGGCGCGGCCTCGAGAGGGCCACGGCGCCGCCGCCCTGGGGAGCGCGCGGGGGCGCTGCCCGCGGCTCGGCTCCTTTCGGGCTCGGCAGGCGACGGACGTCGCTCGAGGGCCCAGCGCACGGGCCTGGCGAGGTGCAGACGCCCCAGGCCGCACCAACGCACCAAAGCACCACACACACACACACACACACACACACACACACACACACACACACACACACACACACACACACACACACACACACACACACACACACACACACACACACACACACACACACACACACACACACACACACACACACACACACACACACACACACACACACACACACACACACACACACACACACACACACACACACACACACACACACACACACACACACACACACACACACACACACGCACACACACACACGCACAAACGCATACACGCACAAACGCATACACACATGCACACACGCGCACGCACGCGCGCACTTTCCGGTCGGCCGCGGGCAGGCGAGTCGCAAATACCGCGCTGGGCCACTCCGGCGGCGCTGGCGGCGCCCGGGGCCGCCCTCAGCGCCGGCCGCGCAAGCGCGCGCGGCGCCGGCGGCCTCTGACACACTTGCAACACACACACACACACACACACACACACACAACGCGCACAACACACAAGACGCACACACACACAATACATTCACACAACGCGCAACACGCAATACTCAACTCACACTCGCACTCACACACACAACACACACCCAGATACCACACGCACAACACAAAGCACACACACGACACACACGACACTCACGACACACACGACACACACACAAACACAACAAACAACACATAAGGCACACACACATGCGCACAAACACGCACACACACATTCACACACACATTCACACACACACACACACACACACGCACACACACACACACACACACACACACACGCGCGCGCGCGCACTCTTCGGTCGTCCGCGGGCAGGCGAGTCGACATGCCATCAAGAAAGTCTAGCAGGCGCGCACGCGCCGACGGGGCAGGAGAAGTTGCTGGGCCCTCGCGGGGCAGACGTGGCGGGAGCGGGGGAGTTGGCGCCCGGCTCGCAACAGCGGGGCGGCGGAACCACGCGATCGACCCCGGGGAGGCCGCAGGAACGGGGGCCAGCCAAAGTCAGGCGAGCACGGGGGTGGGGGAGCCCGCCAGAGATGGCGGGTGGGAACACCGGGGGCTCGCACGATCACGCAAAGGCAGGGGAAAGGAAGGAGTGGGGCCACAGGGCGGACTTCCGCGACGAAGCCGTCGACAGAGGGCACGCCCAACTGTGCAGCGCGCAGAGCAGAAGGCCATGCCACAGGAGAGGAGAGGAGGGGACGACCACGACAGGAGACGAACAAGGAGGACGAACGGGGGAAAGGAAGGCAACTTGACCCCCACCACGGAGAAGGTGCGGCAGAATCATAATCCACCCTGCCAGGCGGGGGGCGAACGGGCGGATGGCCCAAGCCGGGGGGAACGGTGTGCGGCAGAATGGATCCCGTTCTGCCAAGATGTGGGGAGAGATGTTTACGCATACGTAAATATACATATTAACGTGTATAGGTGTGTATCTATGTCATCTATGTATGTATGTGTGTATGTATGTATGCATGTGTGTATGTTTGTATGTATGTGTATGCATGTATGCATGTACGTAAGTACGTGCGTACGTATGTATGTATCCATATGTATGCATGCATGTACGTATGCATGTATGCATGCACGTGTGTATACATATATATATATATATATGTGAGGGGACGATTGTGGTATAATGTGCGCTCCTCATGTTTTCGCTTCGGATAAGCGCGCAAGGGTTGATAATGTTTACTTCGTTTATCCTCCTGCTCCTGATCCTGCTTCTCCTGCTGCTCCTCCTCCTCCGAGTTGCCCTTCTCCTCCTCCTGCCCCCCCCATCTTCCTGCTGCTCATCATCTTCCACATCCTCAAGATGGCCCCGCGAGGCTCGCGATGCCACCACTCGGAGATCCCCACGGACTGCTACAGATGCAATACTTCGCCTTGGTTCTGAGGCAGATGGGGGCGGCGACAAAGGGAAAGGGCGCAAGCATAATACTTTAACACCGACGCAGACAAGACGAATCAGGACTCGTCAACGTTGACATGCGCGAGCGGTGGGAGCCTGGCCAGAGAAACCGCGCGACGCAGGCCTGCGCTTCAAAGTGAATGCTGTTCTCTTGATCCGAGGTACCCTGCGAGCGCGAAGACTGTCCAAGAGCGCTCTCGCAGCGGGCTTCTTCTGAGCACCGCGCTGGACGGCAGGAGCGGCGTCGCGCGCCGCTGGCTTTCCCTGCACGCACGCGGCGCGATCGGCAATCTGCCGCGCAACCTTCTGCCGGGCTTCGCGCAGCGGAAGTCGCGCAGGCGCCAGAACGTCGGTGCCGCGCTGCGCCTGGAGTGAGCAGTAATTATTCCACTCATCCCGAGGAAAAGCCCAAGCCATAATGCTTCGCGATAGCACGTTGGCCTGTCGCAGCTCCCGCAGCGTCGGCGAATGCAGCGCGCAACAGTGGGCCTGCAGCTTGCCCAGGAATCCAATTCTAAGTTGAAGCTCCGCCGTCGACGCGTAGATGTCCCCCTGATTGCGAAACCGCGTGTTGATCTCGTGGTTGAAGGATTCGTTAACCGACGTGCCAGATCCAAGCAGAGCTAAGCGCGCCGCCGGCAAGGAATGCCTGAACCGGAGGTTGTTAAAAAACCATTGCATCCGAGCTGAAGCGGTAGCATTGTAAAGCAACCTCTTAAGCTGAACGTTGTTCACGTGAGTGCGACGGGCAAGCTCTTCTGGAACCAACGCACTCAACGCGGCGATAGATTCAATGAACTCATGCGTCGTTCTCCATGGCAGCTCGGCGTTCACATTGTCAATCACATATTGAGCTCGCGGTTTCGACAGAGAATGGTCGAGTATCTGCTGTCGCGCGCGCTCCTCTATGGGTCGCAGAACTGGCGCGTTCGTTCCGTCGAACGGCGCCCCCCAGAATTGCGCCGGCAGCGTGCTGTCTACCTTCGTGAACTTAACCATGATTATGCGCAATAGCTTCGATCCCACTGGCTTTTTCCTCCAGTGCGTCTCCTCGTACGTGATGGGCAAATGAACCGGGTCGAGGCTCAGATAAACTAGGTTGGAGAAGCACGAGCTTCGCAACGCGCGGTATAACGCGCTGCTCGGCTGGTCGCTGGCAACGGACACAGTCTGCGATCTGCACGCCTCCGACCAACGAACGCAATCGCTCCGGCTATTTCGTCGGATGCCTCGTCCCTCGTCAAGAAAACGCCGAGCGCCGCGCCCGTCCGACCCGCAAGGGTCAGCACGCGGCGCTTGGCGTCAACGTCTGGCACGGGCGCTGCGTCTCGCACTGCTTGGGAGGATCGATAGTCTGCTTGGCCCTTGACCCTGCGCAGAGTGCGGATGGTGGCGTCCATGGAGACGTGGAGGAATTCTTCATGTTTCCGGCATTCCTCCGTCAACGCAGCGCTGCGCTTCTCTACGTGCACGCTGTTGAACACGTCTTCCATGAGCTTTAGCCAGTGGTCGACGTGCGTCGGCAGCATGCTACTCAACTCAGAGCCCTGCTCCACGACGCGAGCGCACGTCCGCAGCATCGCCGGGCGAACGCGCCCATGGTGGCGCAAGGATTCCTGCATCACTATGTCCGCGAAGCCACGGGTATAGTAAGTGTACCCCACTCGTCTGCACGCGAGACTCCGCCCGACTGCAGCTTTGTTCTGATACGACGGCCCGTCGTCGTCGAGAACAAGGACAACGTCTTTGTCAACCGCGTTCTGTCCGCGATGAACAGCGGGAGATACTGTCTCGCGCATGGTCGTCGCAGACCGCTTCAGCAGGTTGCCGATTGGAGCTCGCAGGAGCCGGTCGTTATCGAACAGCGCGCACACGACGTTGAACTGCTTCGTACCAGACGCCACGAAGCGCGTCTCCCTGACGTGGTACTTGGAGACGTGAGCGCGTAAGAGCAGCTGCGTCGAGAACGATCGGAACGGGCATAGGCCGCAAGCAAATCTACACTTGCCCTCGCTGTCCCGCTTGGGGCGCAAGAGCGAAACCCCCGTGGCGAAGCCCCTAACTTCCTTCTCCAGGCAATCAAACAACTCTGTCCGCACAGCCGTTTCGCCTTCGTCCCCGCTCGGGGATGCAGGAGCATCCACCAAGCCCGCGTCCGTCAGCTCGTGCGGCTCGCGCTGCTCGGCCGCGAGGCACACCCAGCCCTCGCCGACATCGTCGGCTTTTCTCTTGCCTCTGATCCGTCTCCCAGTCGGCGCGCGCGCGACCTCGGCGCCTTCATGCCCATTGCGAGCGGGCGCGCCGTGCATGTAAGATGGCGCAGGAGGGCGGCGGGGAGAAACAAAAACACAGGGCGGCAAAGCCGACCCAGAAGTGATATGGCAGAGAAAACACAGGGCGGCAAAGCCGACCCACGATGAACACATGTCTTGAGCCGGAGAAAGATGGAGAGGTAAGCAGCGATTCATTAGTTGCACTGACGTCGAATATGTAAGAGCCCGACTACGGGGGTGCATCGAGCGACATAACGACTCCACGCCACGTTGGGCACATGGGAAAGTGGGGAGAACATCTGGAGATGATGAGACATCGCGCTTGTGTCGGCGCAATGCGTCGATCGAAAGTCGCGGCCCGCGCTCGACGGAGGCCCGCGCGATGGCGTCAGCGCCGCCGCGCCTCCCTGAGCCCCAGTCGCGGGCGCGAGTCGGCCCACGCCCCTCCTAGCTCTCAAGCTGCTTGTCGCTTGTGCATTCTGAGCATTTCGGTAGTGAACTCTATGTTCAGGGTGTCTTCCCAGGCGACGCAAACTCCGCTGCACCGCGCGCATGCGAAGACGTCGCTGTGAGGTTCCAATCTCGGCGCCAACGTTGCCCACGCGGAGGTCGTCGCGCGCAAATGGGTCACCTCGGGGAACGGAAATGATCTCACCGTGGCCACGCACCCCTCCAGATAGTGGCCGATGCCGTCGACGTCGCCGTCATCCAACCCGCAAATGAAACAGCGATCGTGAACGGGGCTGGGGGCCGTCACCGAGGCAAGTTCTGCGTTGGCAGGCTGAAACCAGCGAGGCACAACAGCAAGGGCCCCGGGCAGTCCGGCGCCGTGCGGGCCACGCGAGGCCCTGGGCCTGCTCGACCTGAGAGGCCTCACCAGTACAAACGTTTTGTCTGGGCGAAACTGTTGGCCCCCTGCAAAACGACGCGCTAGTGTCCGTCTACGCACGGCGGGGAAGAATGACAGAATTCTGTAGCATACTTCATCTGATACCAGGGATACCATCAGCGCGAAAGCCTCGATGTCAGCGGCGTCGTCTCTTTCCGGAGACGATGGAGGGGTTCGCGCTGCAGCCTCGCGCGCAGCCCGCGAGGACATTCGACGCCTCCTGCGCGCAGGCGTCAGCGAGCGGGCGCCAGACACAGCGCGCCGCTGGCGAGCCCTCCCGCGCGGAGTCGGGTCGCCGAACTCAAGGGAGTTCTGGCTCAGAAACGGGGAACCGGCAGCGCGCTGGTCGTCGGTGGCCATGGCGCCGAAGTGCGAAAGAGAGGTCACAGGACAGCAATGCTGATCCACAATCAGGTAAAAAGCGGGGAAGTCAAAACAGGCCGGCAATGCCGAGCCACGTTTGCTATAATCTTGAGCCGATGAAGCAAGCGGCCGCGCTGATTTCCCCCCCCCCCCGCCTCGCCGGAACGCGCGCCTGGGAAAAATGGTATTCTATGCTACTCCCGAGCGGACTCTGCGCGCGTCGCCTGTTGGGCAGTGCGACTTGCGCCCGCATTCGCTGCGCGATGATGGCGTGCAATGCATACTGTTTCTGGGTGCTCCCTCCTCGCGTTGGCGGTTGTGAATATGAATTGGATATCCTTTTTTAGAAGACCTAGCGTCGCACCCATGCGTTCCTTCATGCTAAAGCATCACTACTTCCGCGGGGCATGAGAGCACGCGGCTGTCACCGTGGCCCCCGCAGAACCCACGCGCGCAATTCTCAGCCGCTGCAAGTGGGCATTCGGCAATTCCAACGGCACCTCAAGAGGGCGGCGCGCCGTCGCCGCGGCCTCGCCAGGGCGCGACCTCCACTGATGTCCGGCGAAACGCACGACCGAAATTGGCCGCGGTGCTCAGGCAATAAGGCATGCGCGCCGCCACGACTGGCCGTCGCCAGCCGCCCGCAGGGTCTATCTCGCGGGCGTCTTCCGACGCCATTGCCCGCAACTCTCGGGACCTCGTGCGCTGAATGGCCATGAGCTCCTCGATCTCTGGGATCACCGGCACGTCGTCTACAAATGGCTGGTCACCGTTGTCCGGATGCAGGCAGACCACATACATCGCGGCCGCGCGGGCGCCGTAGTACTGCTCCAACATCCACCTGTATATGTTAAGCTGCACCCGGTAATGATTTCCCTGGCAGTCTGGCAATCGGCCCAATGGAAACTTCATGTTCTCCCATTGGTTCGTGAACTTCGAACGTAAATTCTTCGCCCGCTTCCAACCGTATATGTACAGACTGCCCGCGGAGTCTCGAGCCACGAAGTCGATTGACCCAGCAAGCCCCTCGTGCTCCGCGAAGATGGCCCACTCGGTGCGGAAAGCCGCCAGACCTTTCAGCGCGCCCAAGAATTTCGAGAACAACTGGAATTCTACGGCATCGCGGGGCACCAGGACGCGATTGAGGTGGGCCTCGAACGTCCAGTGCATCCAGGTGCCCCGCCTAGCCGCCTCTTCTTTGTTTAGGCGCCATTTCTCCACGATCTCCTGATCCGAGAGAGATAAACTCTCCATCAGGCATGCCAGGCGGGGTGCCGCTCTCGCAGTAGCCTTCACCTCGGCGCAGATCTCGGCGTCGCAGGCCCCGTGCGAAACAAGTAAGTCGTGCAAGCAAGCAGCCTCCGGCATGGTCCGCAGCTTTGCGACCACGTATTCGGGGCGAGGGTGGCGCAAATAATCAGGTCGAGGCCAGTTCCGCCCGCTCCGCATCTTCTCGATCACTGCGACAGCGTCGAAACCTCGAGAATACTCGTGTATCAACCCCGTCACTGACCCATGGGTTCGCACGCCGCGAATGTAGTAGGAGTGCGACTCCTCGACGAAGTGCAGCTGGGCGTCCCGAGGGTGCGCGTTGAGTCGCTCGAGAAGGCGGATCTTCGGAAGACGCGGCAGCTCGAGGGAGAAATCACACGGAACTTGGGGCACCTGAGTGCCGGGCCACCCCACCGGCGGCAACGGGCAGAACAAGCGCAAAGATCTGCGCCGCATTGCCTCCTCTCGGTTCGCCGATGCCCGGGCTGCCTCCTGCGGCGCGAGCAAGCCCGACGACGACGCCGACCCATAGGGGCCCGCTCGTTCGCGAGCTGCGCGCCGACGGATGAGTGCGTCCAGCCGGTTAGCTTCGATGATCCCCGAAGTCGTGCCCCATGGAAGAGGGCGGCCGCCCTCGGGCCCCGGCCTCTGTGCGCCGAGCTCCACCAACACGAACCACTTGTGCTCCTCGACGTCCGGAATGTCGCCCCACGCGCGCCACTCGCGAACCGCTGGCAGGCATGCTCGGCGGTCAATCACAGTGGCGCTGCCTGGCCGCAGGATAACGGCCGTGAAGTGGCCGACGCTCGCGGCCAGTTCAGATTTGCGCCGCGGAGGCTCCCGCTTGACGTAACGCCCAGGGCCGGTCGGGCCCCGCGGCTGCTGGATCAGGGCGAGGCCGAGGTGTGACAGCCATTGGTTCCCGTGCTCGAGCGCGCGGAATGGGCCTTGCACGCTGGTCGGCACGCGTGCGCCCAACGCATTCAGAGCCAAGCTGAGACACGCATTGGATGCGTCTTCCCCATGCACCATTCCTCCCAGCGGATCGTCGTCGGCGCTCACGAAGCACCCGTCGGCCGCGGTCTCCCGCGATCCCCGCCCAGTTGTCAAATCGACGTCGAATGCGCATTCACTGCTGTTAGTGATGTGCAACAGCGCGCCCTCGACTTCCCCGACGCGGCGGGCCCGCTGCGCCGTTGGCAGAACATGTCGGCTGAAACCTCTCCACGCGATCGCCGAAGAGGCCCCTGGGAGAACAGCCGCAGCGCAGCAGTGGCCCCGCGTATGACAGAAATATTTTCCGGGCAAGAGTGAGCACGCACCCGGCCGCGAAGCCTGCAGGCGCGCGACGGTCAGAGAGAAGCCGAAGTGGTCGGCGACGTCAGCGTAGCGACGCTCCGCACCCCGAGGAACGGGAAATCGCGCGCAGTAGTCGATGCAGCCGCAGAAGTCTTGCGTCAGGATGCTGTAGGCGAGCAGGATGCAGTTTCCATCTTGTAGGAGAGCTCGACAGCCGCGCACGGCGGGCGGCGAAGGCTCTACCCAGACGCCGAGCTCTTCGGCCGCCGCCAATTCCGTCGCACCAACCGGCACCTCGTCAAGAAGTCGCGACATGTCCCTGCGCCAAGCAGAAACCTTGGCCTCCCACTGCCGCTTGCTGACGCCAGGAAGGAAGGGGTCTGGGGTCGCGGGCCTCTCGTCATCTCCCAGCTCGCCAGTGCTACTAAGAAGCTGGACGGATACATACTCGATGAAGCGTTTGACCCCAGAAACACATTGCAATCGCCTTCCGCGCGGGTCGGCACATTCGACAACCGCGAGCGCTTCGCACATGCCAGGTAGCGCGCGGCGGGGCGATGAGGTGCCAGGGCGGCAAGGCCGACCCACAGTGAAATACGGGTAATTATGAAGCGAAGAGAGCACAGGGCGGCAAAGCCGACCCACGTACCACGTACGACTTGAGCCGACGCGGCGAGCGGCGCCCCAGAAGGCACGCAGATACACCTGTGAAGGCAGATCTGCGCAGAACATCGCAGTAAATCTGGTTGTCCAAGTTTCTTCAGAAAACGCATGAGGTCATATCTAGTATAGTGATGACTGTATGCGAATATTGTTTGACGTTGTATTTCCTCTACTGGATGTAAGCCAACATGCAAGCAGTGCGGATCGGCGAAGCGAACGGCAACGCAACGGGGCCTGTTGCCCCGCGGGCCTCGGCGAAGCGAGGATCGGTGAAACAGAATGCGTTGCCCGGGCCTCATGCCATCATATTCAAGAGCGCTGCCAGGGGCTTGGCGTCGCCGCTGTCTTCGGCGGCCGCCTGCGCCGCCGGAGCCAAATCAATGCGAAACGTGACTGCTAGCCTCGAGTCTCGCCCGGCGAGGACGGCATCATGGATCTCTGCCAGACTCACCTCGCCGACTTGGCCATGAAAATGAATCGTCGCCTTGTCGAGCTCCGCTCCCACGTGGACGAGTGCGCGCGATGGCGACCCGTGCCCATCCATGTGGAGAAGATAATGCCCCTGCTCGCGAGCATCGAACCCCAACTGCGGCATCATTGACACGCCGTGTGCCAGGCAACACTCCGCGTACGTCCTCCCTTTCTGCACGCTGGCAGCACTGTTCTCCACGGACGTGGCGCTGGCGCAAGATTCAACGGAAGCGGACAACCTGGCGTCGCGGCATCGCCACAGCGCCAGCATAATACCATTGCCGGGCCTCAGTAGGTCGTTGGGCGCCGCAGGCGCATCCGATGGCCGCCACGCCCCGCAGCTCGTCAGTGCCTCCGCGATCGTCGGGTGGGTCTTCTCTGTGATTTTGACTATGAAGCCTGCTTCCCTCGCGATGTGGGCACTCGCGTCAGCGGCGTAGTCCGCCACGGTGGCATGGTTGGCGAGCACCGCGTCCCGGCTGATCCTGACGCCGTCGAAATGCAGAGACAAATGCTTCACCGGCTGCGCTAGCGCCCACGTCTGCCACTGGCGGAGGATGTAGTCCTCCGCGCGCTGGTAGAAAGTCGAAAACGTTTGTCCCTCCGGCCATTTCTCTGTCTTCTCGCCGTCGCCCTGCGCGGCGTCGTGGCAGAAGCTCTCGTATACCTCCGGCAACGCCGAGCACGCCAGCCAGCGCAGTACGCGGCTCACGCGCTGCAACTTCTTGGCGAATGGCTTGGCACCGGCGTCGAAAGAACGGGACCCGCCGATGATCTCGAGTACAAAGCGCTTGGCCGCCTCGGGCCCCATGTCCGGCAACTCGCCCCGAAGTACCTCGTCCCTGTTCTCGGCCAGCCGCTTCAGCAACTCTAACTCCTCGCTGAACAGGTTCTTGTCGGCCATGTCCATTTCCTCCACGAGTTGCCAAGTGATGGTCAGGACAGCGCTGTGGATGTCGAGATCTACGGTGCCTTGCAACATCGGGTGTAGCACGCGCGCCGGGCACCCCTGCGCCGCCGGAACATCCGCGAAGCGACGGGCCGCCGCGCGTTTATACGCGTAGGGAATGCTGCGCTCTGCCAAGTCGATGCCACCGCTGAAGCTCTTCTTCACACCAATTTTCCTCTTCTCCGCTGGTGCGTCGGCTGGCACCACGGTCGGCCTCTCGCGCGCGCTCTCGAGCAACACTTCCAGGGCGAGCTCCGCTGCCTGAATGGACGCGCCGACCGCGCGCAGATGGGCGTCGCCGCCAACCTCGGGCTCCGTTCCGCGCTTCCTCCGCCCGCGCGGCTTTGGGACGGCACCCAAGGTCTCAATCATGATGTCGACGTTGCGCTTGCGACAAGCGTTGCCGTTCGCGTAGCGGCTCAGCGCCGCGCGGTCCCACTGTCCTGGTAGCACGGTCGGCTCCTCCACGTTCGGCGCCGGCACAATATCCTCGAACTTGCGAGTGGTCAACAATTTTGGTAAAAGTCTGTCCTTCGCTTTGCCATACAAACCACCTTTCGACCATCCGGCGGACTCCTCCATCGACATCCACAGCGTCGGTTTCTTCTCCGGCAGGCCCTGAATCTGCCCTGTGGACATCTGCTTCAAGTATGAAAATGTCAAGGCGTCGAAGCTCCGCTCGAGCATCTGATGGAGGAGTTGGCGGCGCAACTGCGCCATGGGCTCTTCCGCATCCTGCGACCCGCCCGCTCCGACATCAAAGTCGACGCCAGGCGGCGGGGCAGCCGCGCTGCTCTGGCCGCCAGGCTTCGGCCTGCTCGGCTCCGAGAGAAGACACGCCTGTCGCATGTATTTCTCCGTGATCCCATTATCTCCTCCGCGCAGGCAGTAGTCATCTATCAGCGACCTCGATGCGGCTTCGCCGTATTTCCGTTCGAAGCCCAGCTGTCGTTGCAGACCAGCCGCGATGGCGGGCCCCGACTGCATGAACGGCTTCAGATCCGGCGCTCGCGGGAAGATGCCGTACTTCTCTGCGTCCGGCAGGGCGCGCCTGATGTACTCCGCGTCGACAAACCTAGCATAAATCTTGATCAGAAGAGACCTCCGGTAGATGGCGTGGAATGCGCCCTCAGTGACTCCGTCGAAAGTGATGAGCTTGTTGAGCTCCATGCGTTTCCATCCGACCAGGTATACAACCTTCGTCAAAATCTGATACGGCAGTCGACCAAAGATGCCGTCGGCAGACGCCAGCTTCTTGAACAAATCCTCCCGGAAGCTCTTCCTCAAGCCTTCTGGCTTCTCCTGTGCCGTGAGAACGATCGTGCCTTTGAGCGACTCCACCGTCTTCCGCGTCTCCTCGTCAAGATAGAACACCTGCGGGTCGAAATACTTGTGGTTGGAGTGGCCGAGCATGGCGTCGAGATGGGCCGTCGTCAGCGAAAGCCCGACGCCGCCGGCTCCCCAGAAGAAGAACAGCTGGTCGACGTTCAACCCTCTCTTCGCCAGAGCGAGGGCGGCCATGCACACCTTGTGCGCGGCGGCGTTTGCCCAGAATGTCTGCCTGTAGAACTGATCCACTCTCGTCGCGGCCACCTTCAACGCCGGGTCACCCAAGTAAGCCTTGATCTTGTGCGGTATGCCGATGTATATGCTCTTGCGCTCACTCTCCCTCGTGATCTGCGTCACCGGGGTTCCGCCCAGGTCGTAGACGAACGCGATGTCGGGGTGGGCGACGCCCCTGAGCGAGGGGCGCGGAGTCTCGCACCATTCGCAGTAAAACGACGGCAACTTGTTCTGAATCATCTGGATCTGTAAGCTTCGCCCAACTCGAGCAACGCTCACTGCGATCGTGATATACCACGGCGCACTGCGCGCGGAGCTGTCGTCTGCCGGCGCGTGCGCATCGCCATCCAGCCCTTGCGCCTCTATCTGCGAGAGAGCATCGAATTCTGCGGCAGATTCCCCCGCGCCCCCCATGCCGCCGCCCTTGCCGCCGCCCTTGCCTCCTCTGTTGAAGATGGCGTTGTCGCGCCACGCGGCGAACGCCTTCCGAGCCTCGGGCCCGCTCTTCTCCAAAGACCCCTCGATCGCGGACATTGCGGCCTCGTCATCCCGCCGAACCTCGCCAGTGAAGGACCGGAAAAGCCCTTCCAAAGTCAAGAGGTACTCCTTCAGGGCAGCATGCACAATCTCTGGCATGAGACCCTCGTACTTCTCGAAGAACCTTGTATACCCGTTCCACAAATACATGACCCCGTCGTGGGCGACGAGGTAGTCACCGCCAAGTATGATGTGCATCATCATGACATACTCTCGAACGTAGATATTGGATAGCCGACATCGATACATGGCTAGCGCCCCAAGGGCAATCCGCTTCAGGTACGGATCCCATGAGGCGTGCTTCTTCTCTATGAATGCTTTCACCGCCTCCGTCTGCACGAGTATGCTCTGAGCAGGCGGCTCAGGGTCTGCCGTTAAACTTTCCAGCCAGCTCCGCTCGCTGTCTACCTCCATCGTGAACTCGTCGAATTCCGCACTGCGTGTAGCTGCGCCCGGGAGTTTCAACCGTCGCTGTAGGGAGCTGCTGTCGCCGACGGGATCGGCGGGCGCATCCTCGGGCTTGCTCGCGCGCGCGGCGACTTCTGGAACTCGCGGAATCCAACTCTGCAGGCACGACCAATGATCGACCTCGTGCCCATCCTCAGAGGACTGCGTGTGAAGCCGAAAGAGCGCTCTCAAAGGGCCGTTACCATAAACGCTCTGAACAGAGTGCTTCGTGTCCTCGTAGTGCTCGACGACGATCTGGCTGCCCAGGACCTCGCAGAAATATTATATTTCATCAAAGCCCGCGTAAGCTTCTCGCCCGGTCTTCAGCAATCTGGCAGCAGTGGCTTCGTCTCCTGCGTCCCGCGCCATCTGCGCGATGCGATCCCGGAGCTGCTTGGCGCGCGCTTCGTCTGCGCAAACTCTGCCCCTATCTTCTGCGTAACCAGACGCATGTCTGCCGCGCAACCACGAATGCATATCCGCGGCAGCATTACAACAGTGATACAGACACAGCTCGTCGGCAGGCACCACCCCAACAGTATCGGCTGGAACATGCGGCGGGCCAGCGGGCGCGTTCGTCGAAATGGCGATGACGTGGGTGCGCATGTCGCCGCCGAGCTCGCCCGGAGACCCGCCGCGCTCGATTGGAGAAGGCGGCGCAGCACCCTGCATGATAGAGTCACCCAAATCAGCTGAAAATTGACTCATGGGCTGAGTGGCAGCAGCGCGCTGGTCGTCGGCGGCCATGACGACGAAGTGTGACAGAGAGATCACAGGACAGCAATGCTGATCCACGATCAGGGAGAGAGCTGAGAAGTCAAAACAGGCCGGCAATGCCGAGCCACGTTTGCTAACATCTTGAGCCGATGAAGCGAGCGACAAACGACGCATCGCAATGGCGATTGCCATTTGTTTTTGGAAAGGGCTGCGGCTTCCGGGGGGGGGTCCGGACCCTGAGGGTCCTACAGAGGCCCCAAGAGAGCCCCAAGAGAGCCTCATGATGGCCCAAACTATTCCGGGAAAGCGCGGCAGTGCTTCCCCATAGTAACTTCGAGCTTCCCGAGCTCTCTTGGAACCACCTGGGGCCCCCTTGGGGCGCTCTTGGGGTCATTCTGGAGCCCTCTTGAAGCCTCTTGGAACTTCTTGCGGCCTGCGAAATCCCTCTGGGGGCCCTCGTGGAATCCACTTAAGGCATGAGAAGACCTCAAGGGGGCTCCCCAAAAGGCTTCCAGAGGGCCCGAACTATTTCGGAAACGCGCGGTAATGTTTTCCCAAGTAGTTCGGATTTCCAAGGACTCTCATGAAGCCCCCTTGGGGCGACCTTGGAGTTCTCTTGGGGCCTCTTGGGGCCTGCGAAAGCCCTGTGGGAACATTCTTGGAATTCTCTTAAGGCTCGAGAAAGCCTCCCTTGGGGTCTCCAAGAGGGACCGAAGAAGGCTCCAAGGAAGGCCCAAGAAAGACTCAAGAGGGATTCGAGACCCTGCTGGGCATCATATTTCATCATTGGGGCCATCGTCGGCCAAAACCACAATCATGTTCATGATCATCATCATCACCACCATCATCATCATCGTCATCATCACCATCGTCGTCGTCATCATCACCGTCATCATCGTCATCATCATCAGCGTCATCATCACCATCATCATCAGCATAACCATCATCATCATCATCATCATCATCATCATCGTCATCGTCACCAGCATCCGCATAAACATCCGCATCACCATCATCATCAGCATCGTCATCATCAGCATCATCATTCGTATTATCATCCGCACCATCAGCAGCATCAGTCTCAGCATCGTCATCATCCTCGTCGTCATCAACATCGTGTTCCTCATCTCCCCGCGGACACCTCATTCATGCCGTTTTCCCTCATGATCCTCCTCCTCATCCTCCTCCTCCTTCTCCTCCTCCTCCTCCTCCTATCATCATCCTGATCTTCATCAACATCATCGCCCTCCTCCTCCTCCTCCTCCTCCTCCTCCACTCCCTCGTCCTTATCCTCGCGGGTGGGCCGGCGCGCGAGGAGAGCACGTTGGCACTCGCGCGACGAGGGGCGGCGAAGCGCAGCTCTCAGGTACACGGTCAGGAGTCCTGCGGCAAGGCTTCCTCCAGATTCACGTCGAGGTTCAAACCTCGAACCTCGAGGATCGAGGTTTGAAGATTTTTGGCCTTCGGGGGCCTCCTCGTCGCCATGGCCGGACGCGGCTCGAAAAGCTGGTGCGTTTGGACCCTGGGAGGGGTCTGGGGACCCGTTTTAAACGGATTTGGCCCCTGGTGCACCACAACTCACGAAGAGCGGCCGAAGAGAAGCTTCAGGACGACCTACTCGGACATGGACCTCCTGGGCCTGTTTTCAGCGATGGACCTCCCAAGTCCGTTTCGCGACAATGCAAGACAATACAACACTATACAATACAATGCGTGGCAATGCTGCACAATACAACCCAATACAACGCAATGTCACCACATAGAGTACAAGGGAATTATAATATACACCCCTCTGTCTCGTATCGTTTACGCGCAGCTCAGGACTTCGTACTGTTTACGTGCAGCCCAGGCGTTCGTACCGTTTACGTGCAACCCAGAAGTTCGCACCCAGAGACATCACGTAAACGGTACGAGCTTCTGGGTCGTACGTAAACGGTACAAAACAAGGGATTCGATGGTCCTCCTGGGCGTGTTTTCAGCGATGGGCCTCCCAAGCCCGTTTCGAAAAAATGCAAGACAATACAATACTATACAACGCAATGCTCTGCAACGCAACGGCACGACGCAATACAATGCAACGCAATGCTGTGCAATACATCCCGATACAACGCAATGTCACCACATAGAACACAAGGAATGCGCATCTGCACCCATCTGTCCCGTGCCGTTTACGTTCAGCCCAGGAGCTCGTACCGTTTACGTGCAACCCAAAAATTCGCGCCCAGAGACTGCACGTAAACGGTGCGAGCGTCTGGGTTGCACGTAAGCGGTACAAGACAAAGAGTTCGGCGGTGTTCCTGAGCCGGTTTTCAGCGATGGGCCTCCCAGGCCTGTTTCGAAACAGTGCAAGACAAGACAATACTATACAAATGCAGTGCAACGCAACGGCACAACGCAATACAACGCAACGCAACGCAGCACAATATAACCCAATAGAACGCAACGTCACCACATAGAGTACAAAGGAATGCGAATCTGCGCCCCTCTGTGTCGTACCGTTTAAGTGCAGCCCAAGAGCTCGCACCGTGTACGCGCAGCCAAGGAGTTCGCACCTCTTACGTGCAACCCAGAAGATCGCACCCGGAGGCTGCACGTAAACGGTACGAGTCACGTCGAGGTTCAAACCTCGAACCTCGAGAATTGAGAATTAAGGTTTTTGGCCTTCGGGGGCCCCTCTCGTCGCCACGGCCGGACGCGGCTCGAAAAGCTGGTGCGTTTGGACCCCGGGAGGGGTCCGGGGACTTGTTTGTTGCGCCAAGACTCACGAGGAGCGGCCGAAGAGAAACTTCAGGACGACCTATTCAGACATGGACCTCTTGGGACTATTTTCACCGATGTACCTCCCAAGTCCGTTTCGCAACAACGCAAGACAATACAACGCTCTACAATACAATGCAAGGCAATGCTGCAAAATACAACCCAATACAACGCAATGTCACCACATAGAGTACAAGGGAATGGGAATCTACACCCCTCTGTCTCGTACTGTTTACGTGCAGCCCAGGAGTTCGCACCCAGAGACATCACGTAAACGGTACGAATTTTTGGGTCGTACGTAAACGGTACAAAACAAAGGATTCGATGGTCCTCCTGGGCGTGTTTTCAGCGATGGGCCTCCCACGCCCGCTTCGAAACAACGCAAGACAATCCAATACTATACAACACAATGCTCTGCAACGCAACGGCACGACGCAATACAACGCAACGCAATGCTGTACAATACATCCCGATACAACGCAATGTCACCACATAGAATACACGGGAATGCGCATCTGCACCCATCTGTCCCGTGCCGTCTACGATATCCCAGGAGCTCGTACCGTTTACGTGCAACCCAGAAGTTCGCACCCAGAGGCTGCACGTAAACGGTACGAGCTTCTGGGTTGCACGTAAGCGGTACAAGACAGAGGGTTCGGTGGTTCTCCTGGGCCTGTTTTCGGCGATTGGCCTCCCAGGCCTGTTTCGAAACAGTGCAAGAAACAACAATACTATACAATTCAATGCAGTGCAACGCAACGTCACAACGCAATACGACGCAACGCAACGCAGCACAATACAACCCAATAGAACGCAACGTCACCACATAAAGTACAAAGGAATGCGAATCTGCGTCCCTCTGTTTCGTACCGTTTACGTGCAGCCCAGGAGCTCGTACCGTGCACGCGCAGCCAAGGAGTTCGTACCTCTTACGTGCAACCCAGAAGATCGCACCCGGAGGCTGCACGAAAACGGTACGAGTCACGTCGAGGGTCAGACCTCGAGCCTCGAGGATCGAGGTTTGAAGCTTTTTGGCCTTCGGGGGCCCTCCTCGTCGCCACGGTCGGACGCGGCTCGAAAAGCTGGTGCGTTTGGACGCCGGGAGGGGCCCGGGGGCCTGTTGCCCCTGTTGCGCCAGGACTCACGAGGAGCGGCCGAAGAGAAGCTTCAGGACGACCTACTCAAGAATGGACCTCCTGGGCCTATTTTCAGCGAAGGATCTCCCAAGCTCGTTTCGCGACAACGCAAGACAGTACAGCGCTATAAAATACAATTCAATGCAACGCAACGGCACAACGCATTTCAATGCAACGCAATGCTGCAAAATACAACCCAATACAACGCAATGTCACCACATAGAGTACAAGGGAATGGGAATCTACACCCCTCTGTCTCGCACCGTTTACGTGCAGCCCAGGCGTTCGTACTGTTTACGTGCAGCCCAGGAGTTCGTACCTCTTGCGTGCAACCCAGAAGTTCGCACCCGGAGACTGCGCGTAAACGGTGCCAGCATCTGGGCTGCACGTAAACTGTACAAGACAGAGGGTTCCACGGTCCTCCTGGGCCTGTTCTCCGCGATGGACCCCCCGGGCCCGTTTCGCAATCACGCCAGACTATACAATACCGCGCAGTGCAATGCAACGCAACGCAGCAGCACAACGCAGTACAACGCAACGCGCTGTCTGACAATGTCTCAATCATCTTGGGCAAAGGCCTCGTCCAGCATATGGCGATGTGTAAATTTGCGCCCAACCAAACGTTGCTGCGCAGATTGGCGGCGAACATCCAATGCGTCCCTAGACAGGTGAAGATGCGTGCCTGCGCGTAAACGGCGCAATATGTAATGCGAGGGAACGTGCGTAAAATTGTACAAATCGAACGTTGCACGTCTGCGGCGGGGCTGCTGCTCCACCTCACTTCGCCGCGGCATTGCTCGCCGAAGATATCATTCGCAGCAGTTTCGCCTTGCTTTTCCCGCGGGGGTTGATGTGGAATTTCTGCGCCTTCTTGCGGAGCTCCTCGATGCTGCACTGCTTCTGACAGCGCTTCGCCCTCCTCTTCGGCATCGCCTTCTGTCCCTTCGTTTTGCTCAGAATGTGCAACGCCATCTCCACCAACGTGATCCATTCTGGTATCCCGAACACCGACGCCTTGGGGCTGAAGCCTTTTTTGGCCAAAGCTAACGAAATCTTCAGCAGCCGGGCCGCGCTGCCGACGACCCTCTGCGGCTTCTCATAGGATAGTCCCAGGGCCTGTGCAGCTGCCGGCACCAGAGTTACGGCGAAGCAGGATGTGCGCTTAACATCGGCGAACAAAGTGCGAGAGGCTGCTGATACTTCGGCCTTGTATGCGCTAGCAGGGGACTGTAAAATCCGATCGATGACGCTCATTGGGAACGCCTCAAGCACCTGGCGAACCTCGCACTGGTGCACGATCAGCGTGGCCCAGCTGACCTCCTGCACCGATGCTTTGTCAATGATGGACTCCATGGAGAAATCTGCAGTGGCGCTCGCGGGCACCCGTAGCTGAGAAACCGCGCGGATGACATCCCGTGCGTTTGAAAGGCCGAAACTATGTAGGGAATCACAAAGCGACCCTGCAGCTTGTTTATCACCCAACCACTCGTGTAGTTTTTGGCTGTACGGCACGGGGGCGATGTTGAAGATTATGGGCAACAGCGAATTCAAACATTTCAGCATGTTCTGCTTCGTGTAATCACCGGCGCACGCAACTCCTGAGTCCCGCAAGCATAAAGGAACCTTTTTCCCAATTGCGTCTGCCATGCTAGTGAGAACGTCTTCATCAATTGACTGAACTGCACGGGGTAACAGGGGCCCCACATACTCTGCCCATGTTCCCGCCACTTCCTTGAAGGTTGCCTGCACGTTGGGGTCCCCGAGCGCCTCCACTGGCTTGACGCCAGTGTGCGCCGTGTGGCGGCCCTCTACATGAGCTGCCCAAGTGTGATGTTCGCCAGCGCTCTCCTTGCCATGGTTGCGAAGCAAACCTTTGATGAATGCGTCGAAATCGTTGCATAAGAGATTCTGCTTGGTAGCGATGTAGCTGCCTGCCCAAAGGTTGCCGTGGTACCCGCGGACAGCAAGCAAAACCAGGATGGCGAGAGAATAAACGTAACCTGGCGACCCCATGTACCTGACCATATGTAAGTAGTAGAGCCTGCGGCTGACCTACCAGCGCCCGCTAGGAGCCTGTAGATGACTCGACGGTTGATCAATTATGAAAACCTCGTCTTGAGCCAAGTCAATTACGCATCAATAGATCATTCTCCTCCGACGGTCCGACAATGCACAAGCGATGTACTGCTGCAAATGGCACACAATGCAACACCACAGAATACAGCGCAATGGAACGGCGCAACGCAATGCAATGTATCACAATGCTGCACAACACAACCCAATACAACGCAATGCCACCACATAGAGTACAAGGGAATGCGCATCTGCACTCATCTGTCTTGTACCGTTTCAGCGAAGCCCAGGAGTTCGTACCATTTTCGTGCAACCCAGAAGGTCGTACCCAGAGACTACACGTAAACGGTACGAGCTTCTGGGCTGCACGTACACGGTACAAGACAGAGGGTTATATGGTCCTCCTGGGCCTATTTTCACCGATGGACCTCCCAGGCCGTTTTGCAACCATGCAAGAGACTACAATACTATACAATACAATGCTCTGCAACGCAACGGCACGACGCAATACAACGCAACGCAATGCTGCACAATAGAACCCAATACAACGCAATGTCACCACATAGAGTAATACTGCACGTAAACGGTACGAGCTTCTGGGTTGCACGTAAACGGTACAAGGCAGAGGGTTCGATGGTCCTCCTGGGCTTGTTTCCAGCGGTGGATCTCTCAGGCCGGTTTCGCAACAATGCAAGACAATACAATGCTATACAATACAATGCAATGTAATGCAACGGCACAGCGCACTACCGGTGTGTGCGAAATAAACGACCGTGGCACGCGGAGCGCGCCAGACGGTTCACAGTTGCCTCCACATGACAACCAGATCATCGCACAGACATCGCACGCACGACATCGTTCGGTTCACAGTTGCCTCCACATCACAACCAGATCATCGCACAGCAATCGCACGCACGACATCGTTCGATTCACATGCCAACATCATCACATCACAGCCTTTGCACGCACATCTTGGCAAGGAAGATGGTTTGAAGTCTCCCTCACCGCGGCTGGCAAAACATATCACAGCCTCTGCACGCACGTCTTCGCCAGGGAGATGTTTTCATGTCTGCCTCACTGGGCCTGCCAGAATCATATCACAGCCTCTGCACGCAAGGTCTCGCAAAGAAGATGTGGTCGCTTCTTTGTCGCCGGGCCTATCCCTCCCCCCTCCCTCGCCCGCCGCCCCACCCTCCCACCCTCCAGCCTCCAATTCAAAATCGTCCGCACTCGTCCGCAATCCTCCCGCCGGGGGCCTCCAGCACTAGTCCCCAGACGCCTCCGCTCGAATTTGATATCCTCCGCACTCGTCCGCACTCCTCCCGGAAGCCTCTGGGAGGCAGTCCAGAGGCCTCCGCTGGAATTTAACATCCTCCGCATTCGTCCGCACTCCGCCCGAAAGCCTCCGGAGGCACTCCCCAGAGGCCTCCGCTTGAATTTGAAATCCTCCGCATTCGTCCGCACTCCTCCTGGAGGCCTCTGGAGGTGCTCCCCAGAGGCCTCCGCTCGAATTTGAAATCCTCCGCAGTCGTCCGCACTCCGCCCGAAAGCCTCTGGAGATACTCCCCAGAGGCACTCCTTCGCACTCCATTTGAAAATCATCCTCGTTCCTTCTCCTCGTCGCCCCTCCTCCTCCTCCATCCTCCTCATTCCTCCTTTTCCTCCCTCCTCCCTCCCTTCCTCCTTCCTTCCCTTCCCCCCCTTCCCCTCCGAAGTGCAGAGTTGTTCCTCCTTTCTCCTCCTCCTCCTCCTTCTCCTCCTCCTCCTCCTCCTCTTCGTCCTCCTCCTCCTGATTCCTCATTCCTCATTCCTCATTCCTCATTCCTCATTCCTCCTCCTCCCCTTCACCCTCCTCTTCCTCCCCCCTCCTCCCCCGCTGCCTCCCTCCCCCCTTCCCTCCCCCTTCCCTCCCCCTTTCCCTCCCCCCCTCCCCCCCGAAGTGCAAAGCTGTTCCTCCCTCCTCGTCCTCCTCCTCGTCGTCGTCCTCCTCCTCCTCCTCCTCCTCCTGCCTCCTCCACCTTCCCTCCCTCCCTCCCTCTTTCCCTCCCCCCCCTCCCCCCCGAAGTGCAAAGCTGACTCGTGGGCCGGGCAGGTCGGCGCTTCCGCCTACACCCAGCTTTGCTCCATGGGGGGGAGGGGGGGGGAGGGCGAACACGGTTTTTGGGCTGTAACAGATGAATGCGACAATGTGGCCCCACGTGCGGGCGAATCTCATGGGACCGAGAATGTGGCCTCACGCGCGGGCGAAGATAATAGAAACGATACAGTGGTCTCATGGGACCGAGAATGTGGCCTCATGCGCGGGCGAAGATAATGGAAACGATACAGTGGCCTCACGCGCGGGCGAAGATAATGGACACTCCGCCGTTCCAGGAGGACCCTGTTTGAGCGTAGGGCGAAGATAATGGAAACGATGCGGTGGCCTCACGCGCGGGCGAAGATAATGGACACTCCGCCGTTCCAGGAGGACCCTGTTTGAGCGTATTCTGGCCCCGCGCCCGTGTCGCGGCACACCCCTCGCACGTTTCGTACGACACGCACGATCCTTACTTGCAATGCAGAACGCCATTACCTCATGATATCGACGGATGGTCGTTTTTCTACGCACGCCCCGGTACAATGTAAGGCAATGCTGCACAATACAACCCAATACAACGCAATGTCACCACATAGAGTACAAGGTAATGCGAATCTGCATTCCTGTGTCTCGTACCGTTTACGTGCAGCCAATGAGTTCGTACTGTTTCCGTGCAGCCCAGGACTTCGTACTGTTTACGTGCAACCCAGAAGTTCGTACTCAGAGACCGCACGTAAACGGGACGAGCTTCTGGGTTGCACGTAAACGGTACAAGAGAAAGGATTCGATGGTCCTCCTGGGCCTGTTTTCAGCGATGGTCCTCCCAGGCCTGTTTCGAAACCACGCAAGACAAGACAATACTATACAATACAATGCGACGCAACGGCACAACGCAATACAGCGCAACACAACGCTGCACAATACATCCCGGTACAATGAAATGTCACCACACAGAATACAAGGGAATGCGCATCTGCACACATCTGTCCTGTACCCTTTACGCGCAGCCCAGAAACTCGCACCGTTCACGTGCAACCCAGAAGTTCGGCCCCAGAGACAGCACGTAAACGGTGCGGACTTCTGGGTTGCGCGTAAACGGTATAATACAGATTATTCATAGGTACCGCGCGCAACGTGGTACTTTTCAACGTGCGCGTCTGCGTCCCCAATGAAGTATATCCAAAACCTGGCGGGCGGGATTATGGCGGGCCCGAGCGGGCCCGCCAGATATCCAATGGAGCGCGGCCGCATAGATTGTCTTCTCACGCGCGATCGCATAAATTGTCATCGCATGAAATGTCTTGCCGCGAGCGAGTGGCCACGGCTGCGGTGGCGTTGGCAGCCCCGGGCACTTCCAACGAGGTAGCCGCGCTAAGCAGTCGAGCGCTAGACCGCGCAGCAGATCGTGGGGCCTGGGATGGCCCTCACAGGGGGCCGCCGCCGAGGTACCCAGGTTCCCGCGGGAACCAATGCTTGTGCCATTTATTTTGGGCGCCCCCAGAGAAGCCTGGTAGGCCCTGGAGAGGCTTCCGCGGGCCTCCCGGGGAATTTCGGACAGCCTCTGCGGGCGTGCGTGGTTTCTTATTCCCATATTGGTACGCCGCATGCGCGGCAATCTAAGAACAATACATGATGTATGCAGAAGGAGCCATCTACAGGTAATGTCATGTTCTTGGCATACGTATCAAGCCGTGTACAGAACATAAGGGCACTGATGGGAACACACTAACTTGAACAGCGAAACAACTTTTTTAAATTGCTAGTATCGATGAGTAGCGCGAGCGCGCGATGGCCGTCTCGCTGCCGAGGTGGTCGGCCGAAGCACGTGAACAGAAAAAAAAGACGTGGAGGTTGCGGAGAACTCACCGAGTGAACAGGGCAGCCTAGCCGACTTCGGCTGACTGGATCACCCCTGTGACCAAGTGATATCTTCAAAGGGGGCCTGCAGTCAGAGGCAGTCTAACCACAGTGGGTTGACTGGGTTGCCCTCGTGGTCACATTGGCCGGGCTGCTGGAGGCGCAACGGGCATAGGATAGTTACGAAATGCGTTACAAAACATGTCAATGCTTCTCACAATACAAACCTGTGGTTACGAAATGGCGCTATCGCTCATGGGTCACGAAACCCACGAGCCCTTCATGAGGACATACGTCGACGCCTTGCGGCACGGCTCCCCGGATGCGAAAATGCACCTATACACTCGAATGCTGCAGCTACCTGGCCGCCTGGCCGCTTCGGCGCAGAGCTGCTGATTCGCAAGACTGAACAGGCAGAGGAGACGAGAGAAACCGCTATGGAAAATTAATGAACGACTCACCGCGTCGTATTCTGAGCGCGCATTAAAAAATGCAGCCCCGTAGATTTGGCACACTGCATCGGCATGCCATACTGATGCGCACAAAACTGTTGTACCATGACATGTATACAAAATGGGCGCTGCGTGCTAGACAGACCGCATACAAACAATGTCAATTACATAGTTTGACATATTCAACGAACGCCACATACAAGACAAGCCATGCACGAGACATGCCAGATACAGATTAAGCCAAATCCGTCGAGCGCGGCGCTCTACCCGAGAAGGCGAGCGAGCTGCTGCTGCAGCTCGCTCACCGCTCGCTCGAGGGCGACGACGCGCTCGCTCAAGTTCTGCGTGGTCTCCTCCTGCGCGGAGCCGTCGGTCTCGCTCGCGGCGTTGTCGCCCGCGGTCTGTTCGGCCGTCGCTGCCGCCGGCGACGGCGCGGAGCTCGCCGCGGCCTCGGGAACCTCGTCCTCGGGCCCGTCCTGGGCGGTGCCGTCGGTGATCTCGAGCATGGGCGGCGGCGGGACGACCGCTGATCCTGCGCCCGCCTGCCGCGCGGGCGGCGGCGGGGGCGGGGCCGCCGCCGCGGCCGCGCCCCAACCCGTCGGCGGCGAGGGCAGTGCCGCGCCCCACGGGGTCTGTACACGGCGCACCGCCCTCGGGTGAAATAAGTTGACCACGGTGTCCGGCGCCCAAGTCGCCACCTTCCTGAGGTGCAGGCGACCCGTGAAGTGCTCGCACCATGGGTCGTCCTCTAGCGGACTATATATCAATGAGGTGTGCGCAACAAACACCGAATGCGACCCAGTCCATATACAAAGTATAAGACGCACAAGACATGCCACATACAACACGAGTCATGTACGCGCCATGCTATATACATATGACGTCGAATACGTATCATGCGGTACACAGTGAATGCGTAATACAACACAAGAAGACTTGACGGCATAAAATATACAATGCATATAGAAACCATGCCACACAACGAATGCAACATACATCACCAGACACTCACGAGGCATGCCACATTCGAGGCACGCCATGTACGACCACAGCACATAAGATGCACGCCATGCACAACGCGTGTCATACACAGGGCAGACACGAGGCATGCTTTATGCATCATATGTCATTTAGAAAACAAATGCAGCAGTCGCAATCCTGCGCCAGCTTGGCGTCTTCCTTGCTCCAGTGCGGGCAGATCATGCACCGCCACCCGAAGTTTGTGTCGTCCCACTCCAGCCAATCCACCCGGCAAGAATCGCACGCCGCAGCAGCAGCGCCCCCTCCTCCTTACCCTGCTCGGCGGCCGACGGGCGTATGCCAGGGCGTTGGGTTGATCCAGAATTTTTCGAAATCCGCTGATCTAAACGTGACTCCGAGAGGCGACATATCATCTGGACGATTGAACTGTCTTTATCCCGAACGCCGGAGACTGCTCTGGGCGCCAAACATCAGTCAGAAGAGTCCCAGAAGCAGGAATGACTGAGCATTCGAGGAAACCTCGTGAAACCTTAATGGAGACAACCTACCAACTGACCGAAGGACGGATCATGACTCGCTGAGATCGAGGCAGAGCCCAGCCCGCCTGCACTCCGGTAGCCCGGTTGACGAACGGGACAGGGCGGGACAGCGCCATGGCGCGGAGGGCAGCGCGCGGGGCGGAGGGCACGGGCGGCGTGCGCTTGGCGGCTTCACCTGTGAACCTGCATAAAGGCCGTCGACGGCAACGTGACATGGCGCTGTGCAACGAACGACGGCTGACTGCAGCTGGGGCAGCAGCTTACCAAGCACGCCATATACAAAGCATAGCTTGCACGACAAATCGTATACCAGATAGGTCGGATACGAGGCTGGCCATACTCACAGCACGTCATATACGACCACATACGCGATGATATGTCACGCGTATCACATGCGTCGACGATGAACAAAACTCTCTCGCACATCACTCACTGGAACGAAACCCTGCCTTATGTATCATGTGATACGTTCTGTAAGTAGGGCTTTGAACTAGAACAGCCGTGCTCTAAAACAGCGGCGCTGACTGGAAAGGCAGAGGCGGCGACGCCAAGACGAACCAAGATGGCATCAGGACGCCCTAATTGGCTGCAAGACGGCACAAGACAGTCTCCTCGCTACCTCCTGGTGCGATAACTTAAGCATCGAGGCAGTAGATGTCGCGCCGTGCATTTTTCTCCCGGACCGGCGCGAACGCAGTCCGGGCGGGGAAATCCATTAAATATCACGCCATTGTCCGACCGCGCCAGCGCGACGACCTATCGAGCGGAAAACGAACACAGCTCGCCCTCTGCTGGAATCTGGCTTACCTGTTATTCATATAACAAGGGCGTTATCGGGCATGTCTGTTATCCTGCAAGCGTGGAAATATGCCACCCGTTATCCGGCAAATCTGTTATCTAGCGAATCTGTTATTTGATGTACCTGTTATCTGGTAAACGTGTCATATGTGAACATGTGTTCTGGAAAAGTTGTCGTATGGTGAGGCTGGATATCTGGCATTCCTGTTATCTGGCAATGCCGTCATCGGGCAAGTCTGTCATCTTGCAGACGTGCAAACCTGCTATCCGTTATCTGGCGAACCTGCCGTCTGGCAAATCTACTATTTCGCATGAGCGCTATATGGCACACATGTCATGTGCTATTCTGTGTTTGGGGAAAGTCGTTGCTAGATAACCTGGATATCCGGCATACCTTTTATCTGGTAGTGTGCCTTATGACACAGCAGATGTGGCCCTATGAAGTGGGGTTATTTATCATTACCCAGTAGGTAGCCGCATGCAAGGCAAGTTCCGGACAACGCGCGCTGAATACAGGGGCATCTATAAACGAGCAACGCCCTGTACAAGGCGCCTCTGCGCCCCCGCGCGTTTCACGAGCGGGGGGGGGCGGGCGCGGAGTCAGGGTTCGGAGACAACGGAGAAGCGAGGGCAACGGCAGACTCGAGCAACCTCTAGACTGCGCACGCAGGGCACGGCGTCGCATCGTCGGGCCAGAGGCCGCTCCCGCTGCACAGGATGCATGTCTCGCAAAGCGGGCAGAAGTCCCTGATCTGGGTGCCGTGCCTCGAAAAGTATTCCAGCACGCCCGTGTTCGAGCAGAGGATGCATTCGAACGCTTCCTCCGCGCACTTTCGCGCGGCATCGGCGCGCGCAGAGTTGGGCACGCGCGGCAAATGCACGTCGGCCGGGGAGCCGTGCCTCCTGCGAAGAATTGCAGACAATGCGTTCACTGCGTATATGATATCCCGACGCGTGTCCGCGGCCTCCCTACGATGCTCAGGCGTCGGTGCTCGCGAGCGAACGACCACCATCTTCTCCGAGACCTCTCCGCCCGTGAAAAAAAGCACTGTCGCTGCCAAGGCCTGGCCCACGTTGACGGGCATGTCGCGGAAGTGCAAGGGAAACGTGGGGGGGTTCGCTGATGCCTGGTTGCGCTGTTTGTTCTCCCCCAGGAACTGGTACATGAGCATCCTCGGATCGTCGTGACCAGGGCGCTGCAACGCCAGTGCTAAAGCGGCGCGGGCCTCCCAGCACTCTCGCAGCACGACGCCGCCTAGGCGCAGCCTCTTCCTGGGCATGAGCGACGCTCGCAGGGGGAACTCCGCCGCGAAAACGTCGGGGAAGAGCTGGGCCGCATGCAACGCGATCACACGCCCTGCGGCTATCGCGCGCTCCACAGTGTCACCGTGAGGAGATGCTTCGTCGTCCTGCGCCCGCGTGGCGTCCACGTGCATTGCCGTGATCGCTGCTCGGCCGTTCTGCACCACAATCCCCAAGCGCTTGAGAAGTTGGCTGCGAACTGCGTGCAGCGCAGTCGGGTCCGACGCGAGGCCGCGCATGTCGGGCTGGCTCACCCGCGAGGAAGTCCGAAAGGGGTTCACCTGCGAAGCTCGCTCACGAGCGGCCGTCGGCAGAGCGCCCCTGTCCATCATCCACTCGCAGGCGTCTCCGACGGCTTGCGCGATGGATATGGCCTGCGCCGACAGCGAGCGCACCGGCGCGCGTGCCTGCTGGTCGCGGAGCTTCGCGACCACGCGTGGGATGGGGGACAGGGAGGTCGTGGCGACGCGGAACATATCAGCTGCCCCCGCCGCTCCGCTTGGCGACGTGAACCACTCCGGCCGCGTAGCCTCCTCCGCACCGGGCCCGCGGCAGTCGATCTTCTCGATGTCCACGTCGCCGCCTGCGCCTGAGATGTAATCCTGATGCCTTCGCCAGTGAGGGGCGGCGTCGCGGTCGTAGAAGCATTCCTCGCACTCGTGAGACGAAGCGAAAAGAATACACCTGGAGAAGGACACGTTGTGTCGGTTGGGCTCCTTGGCATGGCGCCGCAGATCGCGCGCGGAGAGGTCCCTGGGAAATAGCGTAGTCTGCGAGAGGAGGCCGTCGGAGCCCACGGCAGCCTCGGGCGTCATCACGCGCCAGAGCTTGGGGGCATCAGCGACGAAGTCCGGCAGACCGAACGCCGCCCGCGCTTCATCGTCTTCCAGGGCGCCCCGCACTAACGTGGCGAAGTTTACGCCCACATCGTTCGCAAGGATCATCGTCAAGATTGCCTTCGTGGTCGACTCCAGCGCCATGGGCGGCCCGCCGACGCGCCTGCTCACCTCGCCTGACGGTGGCCCTAAAGCTTTCGACAACGCTCGTGGACCTTGACAGACCCCTTCCCCCCGCTCTCGGCACCGCAGATTTTTCCCCCGAGCCGCGTTCGCACGGCTCCGGGGGAAAAATGCGCGGTGGTAGTTCTGTGTCGTAATATGAGAGGGGTGTACAGGATGGGGATCGTCTCTGAACGCGCGAAAGACTCGGGCCCCCCTCCACCTCTCGCCAGCACGCGCAGGAAGAACAAGCCCTCGAACAACATCTGGGGAAAAATGATGTCGGAGGCCCCGGCGCGCAACGTCGGCGTTTGCGACCTCGCCGCTACCGCGGCAGACGAACCTGGAGCCGCGCGATCAATCCGGCCTACCTCCGCGGCATCGTCGGCGAGCACGCCGCGGGATAGCGACGGAATCCACCGCGCGCCACTGTAGAGCACGAAGCGCATCGCAGTGTACGGGGCAGTGGACAAGTCCACGGACGGGCGCGCGCTCTCCCAGGCGCACTCGATAGCGCACTTGATTTCCCGGCCACGCCGACCGTAGACAGCTGAGGTTGCCCTGAGGAGCTTGGCAGTCGAAGGGCCGAACCGATGGGAGACTGGCAAGGAGGAGGCGCTGTCCGCGGGAACATGGCCCCAAGCACGCACGCGGGGCTTGCCGTGGCAGGCCATCTGCCACTCGTAGTAATTGCCTCCTCTGTCGGGTCTCGGCTCTCGCAAGAACTCCGTCGCAGGTCGGTGGCGGATCTCCTGGGCGGAGTCGAAGTGCACGACTGCGCCAGGCGCGGAGTGCAGAGCGGCGTGCACTTCGCCGAAGTTGGCCTGATGAACCTCGTCGATGACGACGAACGCAATCTCGAACCGCTTGAAAATCTTGGACAACCAGCTGCGGCCGCTCTGGACGTTGTTGAAAGCGTCGATGGTCATCGCGAACACGCGCACATCGTGGAATAGCTTTTCCGCAGCTTCCTCCTGGAGGACGTCGTATTCGAAACGCGGGTGCCGCATCAGCTCCGTCTTCTCCAACCGCTCCCTCCGCTCGAGCGCGCCTGCGTCCGGGTTGCAGCGGACGGCGGCCAGGTCGTTGCGCAATTCCTCGATGCGCATCTGCAGGCCGGTAAATCGCCCGCTCACTGCCGATAACACTTGCGAGTCCAGATAACCTTCGTCGTCTGACGGGGCTTCGTCTGCGGGTCGCCCCACGCCGGCAGCGGCCAGCGGGTCGCCCAGCGCGGAGCGGACGTTGGACAGCAGCTCGTCGCGCATGGAACGCTGCTGGGCCAGGGCCACGCACTTGGCCTTGCCAGAGCAATGCTTCGCAGCGTTGGCAATGATGCCCGCCGCCGTCGCTGATTTGCCGGTGCCCGGGTAGGCCTCGCACAAGGCAGCGCCGTCTTCTCGGTCAAGTGCGCGGCTGATGAACTGCATCTGCGCGTCCGTGAACTTCTTACCTATGTTCACGGACTGCTCACGGATCTCCTCGGGGCTCATCTGCTCGAAGACACTGGGCCCGCGCTGGCCGCCAGCGCGGGCCGCGCCGTGCTCCGGCAGCAGCGACCTGCAGCACGGCGACGGATCTGTGCGGAGGCTGCGCTTCAAGGCTGAGATAGCATTTGCCTCGGCGCCAACGTATTCGCCGATGCAAACGAATACCCGTCCGCGGATTGACGTTCCGCGCTGCAGTCGCAGGAGCGGCTGCTCGTCAGCGCCCGCGGTCGCGAGGCACAGGTGGAGCTCACCGCGCTCCACGGCCTCGACGAAGAGAGATCCTTTCTCACCGTTCGCGAGCGCAGGGAAATCACCCGTGCCTGCCCCCGTCTGCTTTTCCGCCGCAGCGGCCGCGACCGCCCTCATCTGCTCTTCCGCCACGACGAGCGCCACGTGATCGCGAACGTGGCCAGGGTCCAAGACGGGATGGTCCAGCATCAATGTGTCCCAGACGTCGACGCTGCAGTCGACGTCGTTCGCGCAGTCTGGCACGAGGACGTCGCCGGCGCCGGAGTAAGTGATTTCGCCAGCCAGGAACGCGCGGATGGAATTGTTCTTCAGCTGGTGCACGACATAAGCAGCCCACATGCTCTCCGGGACGACGTCGCCATGGTGCTTCTGCGCATTGTTGCGGAAATTCGCCGGCCCAACGGGCCAGGGCGTGCTAAGATCTCCGGTAACTGGTTAACAGTATTAACAGTATTTCTAGTTCGCGCGCGCGGGGCGGCCCCTGGGGGTCCCCCGGCGAAAAGTACCCCGACCAACGCCCGTCGCCGCCCGACCGCCGCCCGACCGCCGCCCGACCAAGTCTACTCAGAGATGGTTTTCCTTCTGGGTGCGGCCTCTCAGGCTCCCCAGAGCGCGCTCAGAGTGCCCCAAGAGGCCCCCAAGACTGCCCAAGAGGCCCCCGAGACGCCCAAAGAGCGCTCGAAGACGCCGAAGATGACCCCAAGACGGCCCAAAAGGCCCCCAAGACAGCCCAAGAGGCCTCCAAGACGCCCCAAGAGCCTTCCAAGAGGCCTCCGAAGAGAGCCCCAAGAGGCCAAAATCGTTGATTTTCATTGGTTTTTTCTATGTTTTTTGTGTTCTGGCTTTTTCGGCTTCCGGACGCTCCAAGACGGCCCAAGAGGCCCCCAAGACCGCTCCAAGACGGCCCACGAAGCTCCCAAGACGGCGCCGAAACGACCCAAGAGAGCCCTCAAGACGGCCCAAGTGCCGCCCAAGACGGACCAAGAGGCCCCAAGACGGGCCCAAGAGGGACTCAGGAGGGATACCGAGAACTCAAAAATGGAGCCCTCCGTCCCAGAAGGCGCCCAGGAGGTCCCAAAGAGGCCCCAAGAGGCCTCCAAGAGGCCCCAAGATGTCGCCAAGAGGCCCCAGGAGACTCCCAGGAGGCCCAAAAGAAGCCCCAGAAGGCTTCAAACATGTCTCCCAGGCGCCCCCGAACGGCCTCTCAACAGACCCCAAGAGGCCCCCCAAAGAAGCATCTTGACGACGACTCTATTTCGCCCCATCGAGAGACGACCCCCAGGGAACTGCTTCATCATCAAAACTCCCCACGCAACGCGTCCGAACGACACCCGCCCCCAAGAGCGCAACATGGGCAACGAACGCACAGACAAAAACCAGCGATGCCATATCACGGGCCGGCGGAATGAGCGAAGCGATTCAATATAACATTCCGCAGCTGCATTGCTCGCCGAGCATTCGGCCCAGTCCGACGCCTGGGCCGTAGCGGCAAGGATCCCGACACACCACGAACTCCTCCAAGTCCGACCACCCCAGCTGCACGGGGGCGCCGTAGGCCGCGCGCTGGAGGACGCGGCCGAGACCACTCCAACGATCCAGCTCCTTGTCCAGCGCCTGCTTGTTGTTCTTGATCCGAGGTTTCCAACTGAGGAGCTGCGCCTCCATGGAGTCCAGAATGCTTCCCAGCGCGAGTCGGATGCCCATGCTCGCGGGACCGCGGAGCAGGGCAAACAGGCTCGATCGCTGACCCGAAGGGAAATCTTGCAGAGCGGCCCTGGCGTCGGCGGTACGGTCCGCCTCGACCGCGCAAGCGCAGGAGACGCAGAACCCTCTCGCAATCTTCAGGGTGCCACTGCGGCCGTGGATCACGCAGGGGCGACCGTCAGCCCGCGGGCGGATGATCTCGCGGCTGCTGGCTGCGACGGTCACGGAGAGAACCTGGGAGACCCTGTCGCCGACCTTGAAGCCTGCCTCCAGGGGCACGCCGAACTCCCAGGCGTCCGAGATCGAAGCGTTGCCGCGCAATCCAGATTCCCAATCTTCGGTTTTCACACCGAGTTGGAACAGATCAACTGCGCCGCGCTGAAGGGGCGGGCGATCAGGCATCACTACGTTATAGAAGATGACGATTTGAGGCGACATGGCGGAGACCAGGCCGGCAATGCCGAGCCACGAACAGGAACGGGAGAATGGAAGTAGCAGGCCGGCAATGCCGAGCCACGCAAGAAGTATGATGACAGGCCGGCAATGCCGAGCCACGCCAAAGTGGTTATATCTCGAGAGAGATACGGCTGCAGTGCGGAATGCGCCGATAACAGGCGCGACGTACAAGATTAACTGCGAGGGCGCGCGCTGCAAACACCTGTGGTCGCACGGATAAGGGGTTGCGAAAATTGACCTAGTAATCAGCGCAGAGGCGACAACGCTATTCCGAATTCAGGGCGCGGCCGGAACAACGGCGAAGCTACCTTTCTGATTTTTCCTCCGCGCTTGGCCTCCCACGCCCGCTTCGAAACAATGCAAGACAATCCAATGCTATACAACACAATGCTCTGCAACGCAACGGCACGACGCAATACAATGCAACGCAATGCTGTACAATACATCCCGATACAACGCAATGTCACCACATAGAATACACGGGAATGCGCATCTGCACCCATCTGTCCCGTGTCGTTTACGATATCCCAGGAGCTCGTACCGTTTACGTGCAACCCAGAAGTTCGCACTCAGAGGCTGCACGTAAACGGTACGAGCTTCTGGGTTGCACGTAAGCGGTACAAGACAGAGGGTTCGGTGGTTCTCCTGGGCCTGTTTTCAGCGATGGGCCTCCCAGGCCTGTTTCGAAACAGTGCAAGAAAAGACAATACTATACAATGCAACGCAATGCAACGCAACGTCACAACGCAATACAACGCAACGCAACGCAGCACAATACAACCCAAGAGAACGCAACGTCACCACATAAAGTACAAAGGAATGCGAATCTGCGCCCCTCTGTTTCGTACCATTTACGTGCAGCCCAGGAGCTCGTGCCGTGCACGCGCAGCCAAGGAGTTCGTACCTCTTACGTGCAACCCAGAAACTCGCATCGGGAGACTGCACGTAAACGGTACGAGTCACGTCGAGATCCAGGCGATCCGCAGGGCCGCCGACTTTATTGAATTTATTTAATTATTTAATTTATTCTACAAACATTATTTAAATACATTGAATTAATTCGGCTGCGGCCGAGGCTCCCCGACATCTCCGGCAGGGAGGCCGGAAAAATAAATTAAATAAATCAAATTAATTAAATAAATTAAATAAATTAAATAGATTAAATAATAGAACTAATTGAATTTATTCAATTAATCATGGGGGCCAGATTAAAATAATTAAATAAATTAAATTAATTCTATTTATTTAATATATTTAATTTATTTAATTTATTTAATTTATTTACTTTATTCAATTTATTTTTAGGGCCTCCCTGGCGGAGATCCAAGCGATCCGCAGGGCCGCTGTATTTATTTAATGTATTTAATTATTTAATTTATTCTACAAACATTATTTAAATAAATTAAAATAATTCGGCCGCGGCCGAGGCTCGCCGGCATCTCTGGCAAGCAGGCCGGAACAATAAATTAAATTAATTAAATAAATTACATAAATTGAATAAATTAAGTAAACTAAATAAATAGAACTACTTGAATTTATTTCATTAATCATGAGGGCCAGATTAAAATAATTAAATAAATTAAATATTTCTGTTTATTTAATTTATTTAATTTATTTAATTTATTTATTGTATTCCATTTATTTTTAGGGCCTCCCTGGCGGAGATCCAAGCGATCCGCAGGGCCTCCGAATTTATTCAATTTATTTAATTATTTACTTTATTCTACAAGCATTACTTAAATAAATTAAAATAATTCGGCCGCGGCCGAGGCTCGCCGGCATCTCTGGCAAGCAGGCCGGAACATTAATTCAAATAAATTAAATAAATTAGATATATAGAGTTAATTTCATTTATTTAATTAATCATGAGGGCCAGATTAAAATAATTAAATAAATGAAATTAATTCTATTTATTTAATTTACTTAATTTATTTAATTTATTTATTGTATTCAATTTATTTTTAGGGCCTCCCTGGCGGAGATCCAATCGATCCGCAGGGCCGCTGAATTTATTTAATTTATTTAATTATTTAATTTATTCTACAATAATTACTTAAATAAATTAAAATAATTCGGCCGCGGCCGAGGCTCGCCGGCATCTCCGGCAAGGAGACCGGAAAAATAAATTGAATAAATAAAAATAAATTAAATAAGTTGAATAAATGAAATAAAAAGAATTAATTTAATTTATTCAATTAATCACGAGGGCCATATCAAATAATTAAATAAATTAAATTAATTCTATGTATTTAATTTATTCAATTTATTCGTATTTAATTAATTACATCAACTCCAAAAATTAAATTAAATGAACACATTGTACTGGAATCTTCTCCAATCCTATATATATGTATGTACGTCTATATGTATGTACGCACGCACGTATGTATGTATGTGTGTCTGTATGTATGCATAGGTGTATGTGTACGCATGCATGTATGTACGTACGTACGTACCTACGTACGCATGTATGGTATATCAAAAAAACGCCCTGCCCGACAGGGGGTGGGCAAGCGGAGTGCTCCCCGCGACAGGGGGAACGGTGCGACAGACAGAAATGTTAACCCGCCCTGCCAGCGCGGGGTGGTGAGGCGAAGGCGGCAGCCGGGCGCCGTGCCGGGCGACCACGGAGAGGAGGCAGGGCGGCACGGGCGGAGCGCTGCCGGCAGCCGAACCTCCGGGGGCGGTGACCTGCGGGGCGAAGAGGGGACGATGATCGGTTACACGCACAGGTGACCCTGGGTGAGAGTGACCTCTGGTGCGCGGCTTTGTGGGGGCCGCGGGGGGACCCAACACGAGCGCGCCAGGCGCTACTACTACTACTACTACTACTACTACTACTACTACTACTACTACTACTACTACTACTACTACTACTACTATCGCATCGCGGTCGGCGATGGGGGGACCCCATTCGGCCCGCACCAGAGGTCAGGCTGGAGAAAAAGGTCACTCTTACGTCTAGCCGAGATGATGACAGGGAGAGGAGGAGGAGGAGGAGGAGGAGGAGGAGGAGGAGGAGGAGGAGGAGGAGGAGGAGGAGGAGGAGGAGGAGGAGGAGGGAGAGGAGGAGGAGTAGGAGGAGGAGGAGGGGAGGGGCGACAACCCATTGGTTTTTTGGTTGGGTAAAAAACACTCGCGGACAGGGGGCGGGACGGCGCGGCCGCCGGCGGCGCCCCGGC